CATCTACGTAAATATACCGTTTTGTAAGTTCATTGAACTTATACTGATCATGAAAACATTGAAATAATCAACTTGTTTATGTAATGACTCACTTTAAAGAATCATGACTCACTTTAAAGGATCGTGTTTATAATACACTACAACTACAAGGACACGGAAGCAAGCATTTAATTATAAGCAGGGTTCGAAATTAGCGTTGCGGAAGTAACGATTCGTTCCTTCATTTTCTCAAATCGTTACCTAGCAACATGCCCAAGTAACGAAAACAGTTTCCTGGTTTATGGGAAGATCTCTATACGATCGTCAACTCAACTTCTCAATTGAAAAAATGCTGAGAATGAAAATATGCTTCCGTGATAAAACATTTTTTCTTTGGCACTTTTCGTCCTCTTTCACTTCAGCTTTTAGGCTATAACTTCTCAAAACATAAGATAAAGTGTTTACTTACCATACAGTTTCTTATTTTTCTAAAATAAAGTCTTAAAAATCGGCAATTTTCAGGTAAAATCACCGTATTATTAAGATACTTTTTGAAGATTGCTAACTTCCTGTTGATTAGTGAGTGAGGGAGACATCTATTGAGAAAAATACTAGTAATTGCTTTCAATAAGCATACCCCCTTCAATAAAGTTTGCAGTTCCCATTTCACCATGTAGATTTGAAATAAAAAAATAAAATCTTGGGGAGGGAAACTCTCAAACGCAACAGCTGCATAAATTAAGCAGGTTGACCTTTCACTTTGAGCCACTTAGGAATGTTTATTATAGTGGGAAATTTAAATTTGAATGTTGAAACAACATGATTGGTCTATTATAATTTGGTCTGATCACATGACTACCAATGTTTATGTTCTCATAAGACAACATCTTTTCTCTATTGACTTGAAACATTCTTCTAAGGTCTTTTAAAGCTAATTATCCCACCGAACGAAGTTCGAGGGGGATATAGAAAAGCCGTCCGTCCGTTCGTCCGTCCGTCCGTTCGTCCGTCCGTCCGTTCGTCCGTCCGTCCGTTCTTCCGTCCGTTCGTCCGTCCGTCCGTTCGTGTGTCCGGGCAATAACTCAAATACCGGTTGACGGATTTCATTCAAATTTTATAGGCTTATGCCTTATGGATGTAGGACCTCTGCTCGAGAAGGAATTTTCAATATGGCCACTTTATTCAAAATGGCAGCCATTTTTCGGAAAAAATATAATCTTTAATAACTCAAATACTAGTGGATGGATTTGGTTCAAATTTTATATGCTGTTGCCTGGGTACAAAGGAGCCTTGCTCAAGAAGACATTTTCAAGATGGCCATCAAATTTCAAAATTTTAGATGCTGATGCCTAGGGACATAGGAGCTCTGCTCGAGAAAGGATTTTCAAGATGGCAGTTAAATTTCAAAATGGCGGCCATTTTTCATAAAAAACATTATCTTTGATAACTCAATTACCATTGAATGGATTTAGTTCAAATTTTACATGATGATGCCTAGGAACATAGGAGCTCTGCTCGAGAAGGGATTTTCAAGGTGGTAGCTAAATTTCAAAATGGCCGCCATTTTTCATAAAAGAACGTAACCTTTGATAACTCAAATACCAGTTGACGGATTTGGTTCAAATTCTATATGCTGATGCCTAGAGACAAAGAAGTTCTGCGCAAAAATAAATTTTCAAGATGGCCCCTGAATTTCAAAATGGCCGCCATTTTTCGTAAAAAAATGTTATTAATGATAACTCAAATACCAGTGGATGGATTTGGTTCCAATTTTATATGCTGATGTTTAGGGAAAAAGGAGGTCTGCTTCAGAAGAAATTTTAAAGGCGTTAGCTGAATTTCAAAATGGCTGCCATTAAAAAAGTAATCTTTGATAACCCAAATACCATTGGACTGACATTCTCTGCTAAAGAAGAAATCTAAAGATGACAGCTGAATTTCAAAATGGCAACCATGTTTCATAAAAACATAATCTTTGATAATTCAAATACCAGTCGATGAATTTGGCTCAAATTTTTTATCAAAACATGTTTTGTTCGGTGGGATTTGCTACTCCGTGGAGTTGCTGTTTTTCTAGTTCTATTTACTTTTGAGTCAGAAAAATACTATTTTTTGAGGCAAATATATCTATATCTATCATTCTGGAAAGAAGGATAGTCCTGTATGATCCAGTTCTTTTTATATCTTATTTTAATGTCATATTAAAGGGGGAGGGTTTATTTTGTAAACTATAATAAACTTGAGATCAACAGATCATTAGATTTGTTTTTAGTGTCAAGGAAAACTGTGTCTATCGAAATTTTTTCAACCGGTAAAAAAACTACCTTACTTTGGAATTTAGTTACCTAGAAAAAATGTCAGGTAACTATTTTCACTACCAGTCTAAAAAGTTAAGTTCGAACCCTGATAAGGTGCATAATCTACACGTGCAGATGACAGTGCATTCACAGTCTCTAGTTCCATGTTCCATTAGTACAATTTAAAATTGATTTTAGTAAATATAATAGTTCGACATGACCCTTTAAAGTATACGTATATGTATAAGTTGTACTTTCACTTATGTGCGAAATCTCTCTAATGAAAGGAGGAAAACCCCCAGAGTTCAGAGATGACCTCGCTTCAGTGGACTTTCATGTAGAGATGGGCCTCATGGCTGATTGGTCAAATAACATGGGGGCTAACAGAAACAAAATGGCGGATTTAACATTTTGTAAAATTGTGTCAATTAATATATAGTAGTAATGTTGAATTCTTCTGGCATATTTACCAATATTATAGCTTGCTATTTCATGTCAAGATGAAGAAAGATACAATGAATATGTTTACATCAATTAAAACATTGCATCAACGTATGGCATTTAGATATACTAGATGGTAGAAATCTTGTGACAAATGGGAGGTGGTAATCAAGAGAGGTAATTATGAAGTCATCTAGGAACTCTGGGGTTTCCCTCCTCTTGTTATAAATTAATGCTGCATTTTGCAAAGCATACATGATACTTGGATCATACATCCACAAGATTAATGTTGCATTTGACTTATAAGGTACATTGTGCCTTGTTTGTTTTGAAAAAAAAATAATTCTTAGAATTTGGGAAATAAGATAATAGAAATGAAATAAAACTTCACAAATGACGACTGAAACAGACCCTGACCGCTTGTCCTTGACTTTGTTTATCAAGTTCTCCTTACATAGAGTGGCAAGGCATTGATATGTGTGAATGACTTTGTATTTGGGAAATTAAATTTGATAGTTTATCAGATATAGGGAGCAAGCTGAATAAAAATGTTTCAATTTTAGAATATTTTTGTCAATTTTCTGAAAAATCTCCAAACTGCATACTTTATCTCAGGGAAACTAAAGATTTTTACAGAAATGTATTATTTTTCTATTTTGGTTACCATTTTTGTCATTTGGCTGATAATGATTTTTGGAAAAATATCACGCTGATGACTGATCTCCATAATATGAGAACTATCACTGGGTGTATTGTACAGGTAACACAATAATCTTGGGATAATATCAATATAATCATGACCACATTTTGGTTTTGAAGGTCTTTTAACCAAATTTAAGGCCGAGTAATCATTTATCTATTGAATTTATTTAGATATATCGAAATGATTTGGAAATATAAATGAATCATAAAAGATTAGTTGTATTAAGACTTATTGAACAACCTGTAATGTCATGATGGTCACATTTGCTCAGATTTTCACTACGGCACCCGGCCGATTGAGTATTTTGTTCAGAAATGTATTCAATTTTGAACAAAATACTCAATTGGCCGGGCGCCGGCCGTTGAATCGCAGCAAATGTGACCTAGGCATAAGTATAGTGCTGATATATGATAATTAAGGGTGCGTTTTCAAACTAAACAGAGTGCTCCTACCAAAATGAATTTGCCTACATACCCCTGAGACTCTTATCTGATAGATAGAATGCACAAATAAAACAAAAGTTTTGCTATTATAGGTAAAAGTTCTCTTGAAACTTTGAAGTGATTTTACCTGTTAATTCTGTCTATGGTCAGCCATTTTTGCGGAAGTTACACTGAAACGGAAACTCCACGAAACGAAACGAAATCACTAGAAAAAAACATGGCACACATTGTGCGCATGTGCAGCAAAGTTTAAACCAATCAGATTATTTGATTGTTTTGCGCACATGAATTATTTGCTTCTGAGCACTTACAAGCTTACCACAATAAACAAACCTGGCAGAGACCACCCTTAGCCTACTTCATTTTGGGGAAATTTCAGCTCAAACTCATGACAAATGCATAATGCATACGCTGGTGTGAAGCCTTGGAGACACTAATTTTGGTAAATATGATTTATGGTGTATACTTTTCAGCAGTTTGTGGGAGTTTGGAACATTAAATGTTAAAATTCAAGAAAATATGCCAATTAAACGACTGATCAATTAATATATACCAGCACTGTAGAGGACCATATTCATTATAGAGGTAATTTTGATTGTTTCTTTTCACAATTAATTTCTTTAGTAATTACAAATAAATATCCTACATACTGTAATTTTGAATCCAGCTGAATTTTATCCTGTTGAAGAAGTGGGTTCTGATCCTTGTTTTGACTACTGTTGAACTTGTGCTACCTTTTCACATGAAACTTTTTTCAGAAGCGTGTGCATAACTGAATACATGGCATTTATTTTTAGTTTTACGGTTAGATGGGTTTATCCACAGTGAAGCACCACACTTAAATGGTCCTCATGTTAATAACTCTTTGTATTTTTACCACCATCTCAGGACAACTTTCTGAAATGTGTAATATAAACCGCATGAACACTGTGCAGTTAAAGCATGCATCATTTTTGTTACCTATTATTTTAAGTTTGATGCTACCATGACTGCACGTAATCTGAGGATCTGTATGTCTTTAATTTGATAATTTATAATTTTATTGAAATCATAATAATCATCATGATGAAAAACTATAGTGTTTGTTTTGTGTCATTAAAAATGATTAAACATCATTATCACTTTTTTTATTTCCAGCACACCAGACACTCTGCATCACAGGCTTCAATTTCAATACCAAGTCGTATGTGGTAAGTTATTTTTAACAAAAACATTCATTAACTAAGTCAAAGATAATTGAATTACTGGTTAATTTGAAGCTTATGCCTTTAACTACGGGAATAATTGATCATTAGTTTGCAACATAAATTTTTACCTTTTTCTCTTTAACTTAAGTTGTTTTTATCAGAAATCGACATTTGATTTATTATATTAGTTGGTTTTAATTATGAAAAATAAGAGTTCTGCACCCACTTGAGATAAAATTGAGAACATTGAATTTGCATTTATTATCTTGAATCCTTGTATACTAGTTCCACACCTTCATGTGAAAATTATATTGTATTGAATTTCTAATTGATTAATTTTATTGTGAATTCATGTTGTGAAAATGTGTGAGGTTTCAAAAAATGTGTCACTTCCAATTTTATTTGTTAAACAACGCGGCACATGTTCATTGTTCAGTGAATAGTGTGGAAAAAATGGCGAGACACTAGAAATATTATTCCCATTTGATGCAAAACTTTAGTAGCCTTTTGTGATCAGTGCTTCACATTTGACTGAACATTTCAACACAATTCTAACACACCTACCTCTCTCTCTCTCTTATAGTATCATCCTTGATGATTAATAAATATGTTAATATTATGTTGCCTCTTACCTTGTACATGTGTGTGTGTATGTCTTGGTCAGGACAAACAAAAACATCTTATTCAAAATAGAATTCATGTTTACCTTTTATAGTATACATCCTCCCACGCTTAAAGTGGTAGTATCACTATAAATATTCTCATTTTGAAGAGGAATTTAAGTATGATATTTTACCAAGAAATAGCAAGAATTTTACTTGATTTATTTTTTGATTTATTTGACTTATCTTCAAATGTTTAAAGTGGTAGTATCACTATAAATATTCTCATTTTGAGAAGGAATTTGAGAAGGATATTTTACCAAGAAATGTTACAGAGTCCCTACTTTCAGTGGCATTTGGGTCCCCAACTATGAGAAGCCTTTCTCATAAGACCAAAACGCTGCTAAAACGAGAAAGCAATGCACCAACAGAAAGGCAATTTTGTTTTAATTTGAATGGCATAAGTTTGAGGAAAAACTGTGCAGTATGAGACTCGCAATCCTTGATTTTCAAACATCTGGTAGGTCAGGTAAACCACACACTTCCCATAAATTAGACTCTCAGACAACACTCACTTATTCACACTTGCTGGACCATATATTTTTTTCAGTCAAATCTAAAAATGATGTTTGTTAAGGAATTAAGGTGGTTGAATGTCCAATATTTCTCGTTCATATTTGCACGATTCCTGGCCCTTAGAAACTGAAAAGTGAAGAATTCAATTAACCTACCATTGCCACCCCAAATATGTTTGTATAATATAGGATTTTGCACTTATATATACACAGTGGTTTCAGTAACTTTGTGTACAAGAGGCAGATGAAAAATACTACCCTGCGAGCAGAGTCTAGTTAAACTACACTCTGCCTAGTAGAGACCATATTACAGTTTAGTAGCCCCGCCCCCACGACGGGTACCGTTGACAGTTTGGGTAAATCACTTTTGACCTACGCGCTGACCTTCCACCAATCAGCGAGCTTGAAGAAACATATATGCCAAATGCGTTCTAATTAAATATGCGCATGTCATTGGTCAATTCCGGGCTCAACGATGACGTCAGAAGGAATGACCATATAAAGAACGTCGGTCAAATTTGGCCGACGAACACTGATTGGCGCGGTGAGTTCACAGGTTTATTTTAGTTTGAAAGAGTGAAGACGAAGCTCTCTTTTAAGAAGTGAAGTCAAACGAATGCAAAGGGTAGAAAAATACAAGAGGCGGCATTCAAAATAACCAATTTTACGCTCCCTACAACGCAAATTCTTCTTATTTTAGAGTCCATGGACTGAAAGAAAGATGTCCAAGGTTTGTCAAAGTCATTTCCACGTGTGATGTGGCAAGACATGGGCTCCACAAAATAACACCTGGAACTGTGGAATGACTAGGGCAACTTATATAGAATGTCATTTACCTTTTATAAGATAACTGTTGAATTGAGCACTTTTGATATAAATCAAAATCTAGAATTGTAATTATTAAAATGAGAGTGATGTATTAATAGATGATTCACTTGTGATTAGGTGTATATCAGATTCATTTTAGTTTTTTTACCACCTCCAGGGTGTTCCAAAAGTAACAGGACTGGTGCTGGTATTTTATTAAATATACACCAATTGTCTTCAAAATTTTACATAATGTACCTTCATGTTTTGTAACTAAAATTGCCGAATTACATAATTTTTGTCGAAACTGATTTAGAAATCGGCCGATGACTACTCATCGGCCAGCGCCTGGCGCATATGTGGCCTAGGCATTAGCGAGAGACCGAGGTGGGAGATATCCCCCTCCCCTCTCCACCAAACTTGTTCTCACTACGTTTTTGAAAATTGCCTGAAAGGCCTCCTCACACATTATTAAGGAAAACATATCTACACATTTTGCGCATTTAACCATTTGATAACATATTATGGATCTTATCTTAATTTCGTCGCATGAGAATAACTTTGTACTATCTCACATTTTTACGGAACTGAGAAATCAAGGTTTGAAAGTTTAGAGGTCTGTATCTTACTTAGTATTGCTATGTGAAATTTGATTTTTTGTATGTCACCTGGTCTCACCCTAGAGATATCTTATATGAAATATCATACCTTGAAACAATTTACAAGATCCTTTTTTAAAACTATGGAAATGGAGTTGATACAATTTCCCACCGGAATAACAGCTTATTTCTAATTTCAAATTGTCATATCTGATATCAACTGTTTCAACCAATCAACTCTCTAAGAATTGGTCATGTGACTTGCAAAACTTGGAGTTATAACAATCTTATATTAAAACAAAGTATGCCAATATGCATGTTATTGTATCTAGAATGAAAAATAATGTTTTGCTTTGTAAAAAAATCTTCAAAAACCAAAGAATATTATTTAATAAAATAAAGAAAATTCAATTTATAAAACTTTAAAATCAATTTCTCAAATAAGTACAATTATTTCTTAATTTTGGAATCTCAGGACACCTTTCAAAAAGAATTTATTGCCTTTGAAACTAAGGCAGAAGTACAATGCATTGAAACCAATGATGCTAATACGGTCCCCCACATATTTCCCTCGGTATAAACCCTTTAGCCTAAACCTCCCAGCACATTACAATGTAGCCCCTAAGGGCCGGTCAGCTGGTCATTATCAGGTTATTTTTGATACAGACCAGTTGATTTTTTCACTGGGTATAGGAGAATAACATTGCAACTGGTCCGTAATTCCATTTTGACCAGCAGGTTTCAGATCCTTGGGGCCTAAGACATAATCAATTTTTATTACATGCACATGGAAGAAATTTGAAAATAGAAAAGTAATTTCTAATTCATTTTAGATTAATGAAAGTGATGAAACCTCAATTTAGGTAATCACATTTTGTTCATTGGGATGCAGCTATCATTATCCATTCATTTTCTGTTGTTTGCTACTCTGTGGAGTACAATTGGGAATTGAAGCAATTGTAGAAGTGGAGAATAAGAGTGGCTCTTTGTAAAGAAATTGAACCAATTTGTTACTTTTCCAAAATAAAATGTAGACGATCTAAAAACAAAGATCCCAAAAATACAAAAGAAAGGACAAATCTGAAAAACATACTTTTAATAAAATAACTAAAAAGATCCCAGATGTTCAGTGAAAAGCGCAAAGTAAATCATAGATGAAGAGAAAATAAAATAAGTGTTTTAAGGGACTATACTAACATAAAGATAACTCCTTATTGATATAGTGTATGGTCAGTAAAAGTTAAAGCTAGTTTAAATAGATTTAGCTTTTTTCCACAAACTATAAAACATCATTTTGAAAGAGATTTCAATAGTATACAGACAGTGATTGCCTTTGAGCAATGTAGTGCAAAATATGACAGTTACTATTTGTTTTGATTACTATATCTAGTATATATGACCTATTATTATGTACTCTATTTGAAGAAACAAATAAGTAGTCTTTCATTTTCAACATTTAATGATGACAGCTTCGTATATGCATTTCTATTGCATTTGGCCATTCAAACCCCTATAAGACCTGGTAGCAGGGAAGATAAAGGGTGCTTTTGACTGCTCACATGATCTAATTAACTGGTCATTTGTACTTTTCATCTTCCCTGGTAGCAAGGATTTAGGTTTTCGAGGAAATTAGTAATTCTATTTCATATCATGTGGCCATGAATAATCCAATGACCATCCATAATACAAAAAGTAATTGAGGGCATATAATTTGAATATGCATGGGATTACACATACTGTATCATTTTATTTTTTTGATCTACTTGTAATAGTTCTAAAACTAAAACATGAAAGGCCAGGCATGCAAACTGGCATGGTATTGTGTTACAAAACATTATTTCATTCTAGATACAATAACATGCATATTGGCATACTTCGTTTTAATATAAGATTGTTATAACTCCAAGTTTTGCAAGTCACATGACCAATTCTCAGAGAGTTGATTGGTTGAAACAGTTGATATCAGATATGACAATTTGAAATTAGAAATAAGCTGTTTGTCTGGAGATGGTACAATTTCAATCTGAATTCTAGCTTAATGAGAGGGAATTGAGATGGGGCATGTATCTGAGATGAAAGCCTGTGTTTCAAATAGTAAAATTCCATGTCTATCTCAATTTTTTTGAAAATGGCAGTTAGTACAAAGTTATTCTCACGCGACGATTTGTTAATGTGAATTCGCACCGCCATCTGCATGGAAGACTTGTATGTGTTGCTACTTGCATGTAGCTACAAGTATTTAATTTCAATAGATGATAAACTTCTCAATATAAGAAATTACCCTTATAAGACATTGTTGCAAGGTGTGTTGCAATGAATGTGACATCCCACATTCTCAGGCCCGCATTATGTATTCTCGAAGAAAGCCATCATAATATAAACCATGTCATCTCATTTCTTCTCAGCCCTGAGATGATTCAGGTGAAACAGAAAGATGCTACGAGTATCAGAATGGAAGAAAGCATATATTTGCATTGATGGTGTATAGATAGTTATTATCCCATCGAACGAAGTTCGGAGGGATATAGGGAACGCCTCCGTCCATACGTACGTCCGTCCGTCCGTACGTCCGTCCGTACGTCCGTCCGGGCAATAACTCAAATACCGTTGGCCCGATTTTGTTCATATTTTGTACACATATACCCTATGGGGGTAGAAGTTCTGCTCAAAAGCCGATTTTCAAAATGGCGGCTCATTTCAAAATGGCGGCCATTTTAGTGCCGATTTTACAGTAATTTAGGTGCAATATGTAAAACTGTAATAGCAATATGTTTTAAATGTAAAAAATTATAAAGGACATTAATAATGCTACAAATGTAGATATTAAAGAAGCGCATGGCAGCCATCTTGAAAAATGGCGGCCTTTACTCGTCATTTTACGATTTTTGCTGTAACACAAAAATAGTGGAGCGATTTTGTTCATATTTGGTATGTGAATACTATAAGCATTGCACACTGTCTAAAGACACTTTTGGTAGAAGGCGGCCATTTTGAAAAATGGCCACCATTTTAACGTATTTTACTATAACTCGAAAAGTAGTGGAGCGATTTTGTTCATATTTGGTATGTAAATACTATAAGCATGGCACACTGTCCTATGACATTTTTGTTAAAAGGCGGCCATTTTGAAAAAAAATTTGAAAAATGGCCCCCATTTTAACGTATTTTACTATAACTCGAAAAGTAGTGGAGCGATTTTGTTCATATTTGGTATGTGAATACTATAAGCATGGCACACTGTCCTATGACACTTTTGGTAGAAGGCGGCCATTTTGAAAAATGTTTTGAAAATGGCCGCCATTTTAACGTATTTTACTATAACTCGAAAAGTAGTGGAGCGATTTTGTTCATATTTGGTATGTGAATACTATAAGCATGGCACACTGTCTATTTCTAATGACACTTTTGGTAGAAGGTGGCCATTTTGTAAAATGGCCGCCATTTTAACATATTTTACTATAACTCAAAAAGTAGTAGAGCGATTTTGTTCATATTTGATATGTGAATACTGTAAGCATGGCACATTGTCTAATAAAAATTTTTGGGAGTACTCGGCCATTTTGAAAAATGGCCACCATTTTTATGTGTGTTCTTTTACAAGTTTTAGAGGTGGCTACTTAAAAGCATATTATTTCTTCTAATGACACCTTGGCTAGTGAGCAACCATTTTTAAAATGGTGGCCTTTCTGGTGTGTTGTTTTATGATATTTGCTATTCGTTTGTAAAAATGCCAGCCATCTCTGTTCGATGGGATTCGCTACGCTTTGGCGTTGCCGTTGTTCTGGTTTTATATAATGTTTTTAGTTGTACGTGGAAACCTATTCTAACCAGGAAGGATATTGCAACTTTTTTCAAGATCTTTAAGTTGCAATTTTCGTTATTGTGTTTCATTGTAAAGACGCACCTGTGAAAGTGTGTCACTGGTATAAAGGCGTAGTTCTAAATACATTTAAGATTTTTAAACTTGCATGTGAACGTGTAGAATTATTGACCTGATGGATTTTTTCTCCCTTTTGTACTGTTAATACTTGGCTGGTTGAGTATATAAAGGTATACATGTATATAAGTGGAGGTTCAAACCTCCCCCCATCCACACATACACTTTTTATCATGCTTAAGTAACTTCGCATTGTAATTACAAGGGTGTTATAAACGAGACACCAGGATGATAAGGTAGGGGTACAATATAGGGCCCAAATCTTGAGAAAGAGTCGAAGGCATGCGAGGCGAATCCTGGAAACTCGGGTTTGGGAAAGCGGGGTTCACGGTTTGGTTCCGTTGACACCTGTGCGAAACTACATCCAAAATTTATCTGACAGTCGCTTTGATAATGTTTCTTTATCTCGTCTGCCATTCGATAAAGAAGAATTATGAAAGCTCATCAAGAATGGACGATCTTGCACAGATACTCATATAAGAACCTCTATATCTTTTTAACACCAATATAAAGATTGAACAACGGGCAAACTATGTTAAGAATAAAATGTTATATCTAATGTGCCAATTCAATGATTTAGCATATCGAAAATATTTTCAACCTAAGTGACCACATCGTGACATCACTTAGGTGGCAACATCTTTCAATGTCAATCTTTTCTAAATATGCTAAACTTAAAAAATAAACCAATTTTGACTGTCTAACCAGGTTAAAAGGATGAATATATTATGTTTTCAATATTATTTTACCATTGGTTTCAATGAGAATTAAAATTTTGAAATGCATCTTTCCCTGAACCACTTTCATGCATGGATGAGTTCATTGCTCGCTCATCTATCAACCAATTTTCTTGATTTTTTTCGGCAAAAAACAAGTGAGGATGATTGCTATGCATCGGTGTGAATTATCGTTTTAAAGGATAAGTGTGTCATCTTAAAGTTAGTTTTAAATAAATTCACGATATTTTGAACAAAAAGTCCTTCAAAAACATTTTTGAAATTAATAAAAAGTTTCACATTTCACACTTTGATAACATTGGATAAGACAACAATATAAGCCAAAGTGGTTTAAACTTTATATGGGGCCTTTAACTGATTAACACAATTTTACACCTATTGGAAAGACTGCACTGTGACTGGTTGGACAGATTTGTATCAATCATACATGTAACTGCATGTCCAGTGGAAAATAACTAACTAACTAAGGAAGTGCAAAACAAGATCGCTAAATAAAATAAAGGATAGTCTATAGAAGACTTTTAATTTTCCCCCAAAACAATATTTGACTTCTAACAAGCGGCGTATTATCGAAAACAAACGCCGATTTCAGACACTCGCCCCCTGCTATTGAAAGCCCTGATACATGTATATTAAAGTATGCATGGTTGTATCTTCTTAACAGTTAAAATGCAAAAAATTGTTTTTGATTTTGCTCTGACCATGGTATAATATACCATATGCAATGAACATGAATATTGAAATCCTTTGAATAAAATTTTAATTTTTAAGATTTTTAGAAAAACTTCATAACAAGAAATTGTTACGAGATAAAATGAATATTGGGTAAATTAATTTCTACAATAACACATGCTGTCTTTGAATTTTAGTGCTAAATTGAGTTCTAATACTTTAATATTCTCCTGTCCTCAAAAACTCAAAAACTAGAGGGTAAGAGGGAAATATTCTGTCTTGAAAATATATGTTTTCTTTTGTTCCAGGGCTATACTGAGTTGACAATCCATCCATTAAGGCAGGATCTCAGAAGAATAAAACTCAACTGTAAACAATGCAGTATCCTTTAAAGTATAAGAATTAAAAAAATTGGTGCTTTGTAGTTGTACCTTTTAACCCAATGAAAGTTAAAATCCGGGAGGTAAAACCTCTTACAGTTTGTACTTAAACTAAAAAGTGATATTCGACACAAAATAAATATACTGGATTGATATCCCTGGACGTGTCAATTTAATCATAAATCTTTCAAAACATATTTGTTCAATATTGACATGCTGCGGAATTGCAGTGTACCATGACATGAAAATCTTCAACAAAATATGAATGTGTTGACCTACCTGCGAAATGTCATGCAACTGGAAATGAATGTCCCATATACTGTATTAGCCCCAAAACGCTGGAGAGTCCCAGAAAGCCCATGGATTATCTCAGAACCTGAGATATGTTATTAATTTGGCCATTCAAAGATCAATTGTTTCAAATTGGCTGTTCATTCTTTTTCATGCAGCATGGTAAGTAGAATTTATGATATAAGGCATTTTAAACTTTTTAGGCATGAAACCCAATGGTCGCTTAAATGGTCAGGTATCATCACAACATATTTATTCAATCGGTCACTTCTCTTAATAATTTAAATATAATGGATTTTGTGAATAGACTCATGAAATTGCCCACTCATCCATCTGCCTTTATGGCCTTTATATCTGTGGTTGGCAAAACTGCCCTAATTCACGTCACCATACTAGTCAATGGGCAAAAGGACAAAAGCCTGACTTTTTATCTCGGGTTATGGATTTATGTGGCCTCACTGACCTATCTGAGGTTCTAAAGCTATGTCTAAGCTACATTTTGACGCTAAACTCAATAGGGGCCAAACATTTACTTTTTGAAATGATTGGTCAATTGTGACACTACCCCCTCTCTCTGCTGACAGAAATTGAAATTCACAAAAATGATGGCAAAATTAATACGCCAATTGACTCAAAATTTTCCTTCAGATAACCCAAATAAACGCATTTTCAGAAGAAATGGCATGTTGTCATTGCAAAAAGATGACAACTGTACCTACATACTAGCTTACTGACTTGTCATGATCACAACTGTGTTGGGACTACATTCATTTTTTAAAACTACTTTTTTCTATTCAGCGGAAGTGACGTATTAGGGCAGTTTGGCCGTTACATATTGTCATATTACCTTGACATTTGACAAGAGTACCTGGACTAAATAGATTTGAATATTGAACGATTTTGCATTTAATTTCTCTTACCTTAAGTGGAAACATTTTATTACATGTACCCTTAAACTTTACATACAGTTAGTATATTTCTTATCCTGTATCAGAAATCTACAGAGTTAGTGTCAATGACAAATGGGAGATCCCCTTCCTCTATAATGACCCCACATTAGAAGCTGTACAGGGGGAAGGAAAAACGTAAGTCACCATAATTGTTGTAAAGTTTGTCATGTTGAGTTTCGTCATAATTCTTTTTCAAACAAATTGCTCTATTGTCATTGTGCTGCTGGATGTATGTTTGTGTGATTGGGTGGGCAGAGGGCGCCACATGAATCTTGTCATCAAAATCTTGGGCATGCTGGGTAAATAACTTGATGACCGTTTTGAATTTTTTAATAAAAAAGTGTGATAATTTAAACCTGTGTGTCTTGCTATTTTTTACTTTGAATAAAAACTGTATTAATATATTTTTATTTAGGCGTAATCTGGACACATACATGAATGCATACAATGATGCTGTATGTAGTGTTGATGCCAGTGTCGGGAGTGGAGAGATCACACTCAGGTTGCCAAATGAGGCCTTTCCCATTGTAGCAGGTACGTCTTCTTATAAAGCATACTTAGCTTTAAATATAAGGCCTCCCCAACTACAAACCATATCCTCTCTGGTTCAGGAATGGAAGGGTTTTGCTTATGTATTTTCATGATGAAGCAGCTCGGGATAATGTACAACATACTTGCAAAAAATGATTTTTAGAAAGGGGATTAGGTTTCTCAATATTTGTGGATTTCTGCATTCCCGTGACTCATCATCAATATCATTGGTTTTTTTTCAATGTTACAATAATAAGATAGTGTCACATATTTTCCAAAATTGTGGGTAAAATACATTTTTTCTTATACCTATTTCCTTCTTCAAAGAATGTAATATAACATCTTTTTGATGTTATTGTCATTTATCTGTCCTAGGTAAACCCTAATTTATTTACATTATCGTCCCAATTCAGTTTATGAGATTTCTCTTTTTTTGTGTCCTATATAAACACCCAAATATTTCACTGGTTCATTTGTGAATGAAATGTTTTCATATTTTTCATCATTTATCATATTTCTATGAAGCCAAATTCCTTCAGTCTTATCTTTATTTAACCTTAACCCTGAAAATTTAGAAAATGTTTTGATTGTTGAAAGTGCATGTGTAATTGAGTTTTTATCTTTTAGAAATAGTGCAGTATCATCTGCGTATTGCGAAATTTTATATTCACTTTTACCTATTGTTAAACCTTTAACTTCCTGATTTTGATATAAAGCTAGATTCATGACTTCACAACACAAAATAAATGCCATTGCAGACACCTGGCAACTTTGACGACAAGAACGTTCAATATTAACATCTTTAGAAAGCCAACTATTTTGTTTAATATTCAAGAATGATTTTTTATATAAAAGTTTGAACCATTTGATGGCTTTTTCATTAAATTTGAATTTTTTTAATGTTTCATTTATCATTGTTGCTCTCTTTTATGACATAGCTTATATATCATTATGATAATATCCCAGGGATGACTAAACATCCAAAGAACAAATATTTTGTAGTTAGAATAGGAGAACATTGTTCAATATGAACATCAATCTTGTGCCATAGCAATTCAAACAAGTTTGACTTCGTTTAAAGTTTCTAATTTTGATTCTGAAAAAGATCCTGACATTTTATTTACAATATATTTTTCTATTTATCAAATCTTAAGTAAGTAAGTAGTTGTTTATTTCAGTGCCTTGTGCACTTTTATAACATGTCAAATAGAGTTATTTATAACATACCTATGATGATGTATAGTGCAAAGTGTACACAAGACAGCGGGCCAATATAAGTTTTGAAAAGCCCGCGCCCGCTAACTTTCTGATTGGTCAAGGCGCTGACATCATAACCAATCAATCGAAGATTGAGCAATTTTTCTAAACTCATTTCAATCATTTTCAAACCATTTGTTTGTCAATTCTATAAGAAAACGGTACTCTCTGACCAGTCTACATCATCATAGGTATGTTATAAATCGTTGATGTCACTATCGTGGCACATATGCCCTCGGTTCTCAGAGATCAATGTCCCTCCCAAGGTCGAGCCATATATCACTGAGACCTCGGGCATATATGCCACGATAGTGACCTAACCTCTAAATATTATTTGTTTTCATTTTGTTATTTGTTTAGAAATGCAGCCCATTAGGCTAATCCTAGAGTTTTCACTTGAGGAACCCAGTAGTGGTGTCCAGTGGGTGGTTCCTGAAGGGGAAGGGAGCCTTGCTGAGAATAGTGCTCATATGTTCACTTACAGACTGGAGAATGCAGCTAGGTAGCAATTTATAAACAATTCCTTTAAGATCTATTTCTTCCTTTCACAAAGAGAAAGATTACATTCAGTAGAGATTTGCATACTGGAATTTTTGAATCGCCTTTGGTTTTGTTGATCTACAGAATACTTTTTGGTGGGTTGACCCAATTTCATTATGTCTGAGTCACATTTGTTCTAGGGTGGGCGTATGGCGGCCATAGCTTTCCAAATTCAAAAGAAATATGCAGCATAAAATATAGAGATAAAACAGTACGATGCAGATTTTCTATATAGATTTCACGGGTAGTATCTAAAGCCCCGCTATGATTTAAAAATCGCGAGCAAGTTCCCGCTGAAATCGCGAGGAATAAAAATAAGTCATGGGTTCTTTTTTGTGTTCTTGAATTGTATGATTTACAAAACGTTTTCTTTTAATTTTCCCCAATGATTACATGGTATTGAGACTAAAAAAGCAACTGCTGGAAAAAATGTATCACGAGCGGTCGTTCTGTGGTTCGTTATTTGTCAATTGAAGAGAGAAAGTATCTTTTTGAATCTTTATCTATATATTTCTATACGTTATTGGTGAAGAACGATGTTGTCCTGTGGTTGAAATAACGATAGTGATATAAAATAAAGATGTACCGAGTTTCACTTCCTAAAGCTTTACAGAACATTTTATATTTAAATTTGATCATATCCCTCAAGGCCCCGCTTCTAGCAGGAGCAATTAAGCAAAGATCCCGCTGAAATCAGGAGGAGGCCCCGCTGAAAACATGAGGAGGTCCCGCTGAAAACAGGAGCAAGTGTCTCTCAAAAATGGAGTGAATCCCGATCTTACCCTGGAAATTTCCCACTTTCGTACCCACCTTGATCCACTATTGTACCCAGTTTGATGAATACATTATTTGTCAATACAATTCTCAATAACAGCAAACACAACTGTTTAATATAGTTCATATTATGATACATTGTTATGGAAAACTGCAGTATCATATTTCCATGCCATTTTACAGAATAAGAAAGATCATCTGAGAAATGTGATGAGTATTAGATCGGACGAAATGTTAAACATTTAACCTCATTTTCATAATTTGAAGTAATATAAGATATTCTGTATTCTCTGTATTGCAACTGTCCCCTCTGTTCCATCTTTGAGTACAAGTCGATATTCAGTAAGATACACGTATAAGCGTGCGTTTAGGTCAACCTAAAATGATTTAGTCAGAATAATGTTTATGAATATTATTCCTATATCAATCTCCTGTTGCTTACTTGCTTGCTCGCTTCCTCCCTTCCTTGCTTCTTCGCTTCCTTCCTTCCTTGCTTCCTTCCTCGCTTCCTCACATCCTTCCTTCCTCGCTTCCTTCCATCCTTGCTTCCTTCCTTCCTCGCTTCCTTCCTTCTTTGCTTCCTTGCTTCATTCCTTCCTTGCTTCCTCACTTCATTCATTCGCTTCCTCCCTTCCTTGCTTCCTTCCTTCCTCACTTCCCTCCTTTATTTCTTGCTTCCTTCCTTGCTTCCCTCCTCGCTTCCTTCCTCACTTCCTCCCTTCCTTTCTTCCTCGCATTCTTGCATCCTTCCTTCCTCGCTTCCTTCCTTCCATCCTTGCTTCCTTCCTTCCTTTCTTGCATCCTCCCTTCCTTGCTTCCTCACTTCCTTCCTTCTTCGCTTCCTTGCATCCTTCCTTCCTCGCTTCGTTCCTTCCTTGCTTCCTTCCTTCATTGCTTCCTCGCTTACTTCCTTCCTCGCATCCTTGCTTCCTTGCTTCCTCCTTTCCTTGCTTCCTCCCTTCCTTGCTTCTTTCCCTCCTTGCTTCCTCGCTTCCTTCCTTCCTGACTTCCTTCCTTCCTTCCTTGCTTCCTCGCTTCTTTCCTTCCTCGCTTCCTTCCTTCCTTGCTTCTTTCCTTCCTCGCTTCCTACCTTCCTTTCTTCCTCGCCTCTTCTTTTCTTGCTTCCTTCCTTCTTTGCTTCCTTCCTTCCTCGCATCTTTCCTTCCTCGCTTGCTTCCCATCTTGCTTCTTCGCTTCCTTCCTCCCTCGCTTCATTCCTTCCTTGCTTCCTCGCCTCTCTCTTTCATCACTTCCTTCCTTCCCTTCTTGCTTCATTCATTCCTTCCTTCCTCGCCCCTTCTTTTCTTGCTTCCTTCCTTCCTTACTTCCTCGCTTCCTCCCGTCCTCGCATCTTTCCTTCCTCGCTTCCTTCCTACCTTGCTTCCTCGCTTCCTTCCTTCCTCGCTTCCTTCCTTCCTCGCATCTTTCCTTCCATGCTTTTTTCCTTCCTCGCTCCCTTCTTTCCTCCTTTGTTTCCTCGCTTTCTTCATAAATTTCGTCCTCACTTCCTCTCCTCCTTCCTTCCTTGCTTTATTCCTTCCTTCCATGCTTCCTCGCTTGCTTTCTTCCTAGCTTCCTCGCTTCCTTCTTTCCTTCCTTCCTCGCTTCCTTCCTTCCTCGCTTCCTTCCTTCCTCACTTCCCTCCTTCATTCCTTGCTTCCTCCCTTCCTCACTTCCTTCTTTCCTCCTTCCTTGCTTCCTCGTTCCCTTCATTCTTTCCTCGCGTTGTTCTTTTGTCGCTTCATTCCTTCCTTGCTTCCTTCCCTCCTTGCTTTCTCGCCTTCTTTCCTTACTTACTTCCTTCCCTGCTTTTTTCCTTCCTTCCTTTCTTGGGTCTTTGCTTGCTTCCTTCCTTCCTTGATTCATCGTTTCCTTCCTTCTTTGCTTCCTGGCTTCCTTTCTTCCTCGTTCCCTTCCTTGCTTCCTCAGTTCCTTCCTTCCTCGCATCGTTCCTTCCTTGTTCCCTCGCTTCCGTCCTTTCTTTCTTCCTCAGTTCCTTCCTTCCTTGCTTCCTCACTTTCTTCCCTCCTCGCTTTCTCGTTTCCTTGCTTCCTTGCTTCCTTCCTTCCTTCTTTGCTTCCTTGCGTCCTTCCTTCCTCGGAATCTTTCCTTCCTCACTTCCTACCTTGCTTCCTCGCTTCCTTCTTTCCTCGTTTCCCTCTTTCCTTCCTTGCTTTTTTCCTTCCTCGCTCCCTTCTTTCCCCCTTCTTTGCTTCCTCGCTTCCTTCACAAATTTCTTCCTCACTTCCTTCCTTTCTTCCTTCCTTGCTTCATTGCTTCTTTCCTTCCCTCCTTCCTTCCTTTTTTCCTACCTTGCTTACTTATATTACTCCCACCTTCACTTCTTCGATTTACTTCCTCCATCCCTTCTTTACTTGCTTGCTAACTCAATTACTTACTTCGTTGCTTGTTTACTTCCTCACATCCTTGCTTGCTTTCTTGATTATTTACATTCTTTCATATGGCAGTGGAAAGACAAATTTTGATGAAAACCTGCAAACGAACAAACGAACGAGGAAAGAACGCAAGGATGGACAGAAGAACAGCCGAAAAAACAATAAATGAACAAACGGACGGATAGGCGGCCAAAAGAACGCATGAAGGAAAGATAGAAGTAAACAATTTACAAAAGATCGAACCCACGCACGCAAGAACGTAGTTACAAACGAACGCACGAATGAACGCACGAACGAACGAACACACAAACGAACGCAAAAAGAACGAACAGACGAACGCACGCATGAATGGACGGTTGAACGAAAGCACGCACGGACGAACGGACGGCTAGACGGACGAACCCACGAACGAAAGGGCAGTCAGACGAAAGCAAGCACAAACGGACGGTCAGACGAACGCATGCGCACACAAACGGACGGACAATCTCACGGATGCACGCACGAACGAACGAATGGACGGTCGGACGAACGCTGTCACGAACGCATGATTGGGCGATGCATGCACGCACGAACGATCAATCTGTCGGATGAACGTACGCATGAACGAACGGACCGTCGGACGAACGCACGCACGAACGAACGGTCGGTCGAATGCACGCACAAATGAACGGTCGGACAAAGAAACCAATGAAATATATTTGTCCTCAGAAGTATAATCCTTGGAATAGTTAATTATGTAGAATGTACATTTAACTCCGAAATGCACAAAGTCTATTTACATTGATCATGCCGCTGACAGATGGAGTAGACTGCCTGAAGTTGAAGAAGAAATATTTTTGATGTTGCCATAGAATGATATGTTAAGTGATTGTCATTAATACGTTATTTGCACATTCGTGTACGTTCATATAAAGAAGCTCACTATATTCATGGAATAATGATGAAGCTTTCCTCGTGATCGAAGCGGGTAGTCGTGAAATTTGCTCGTGTTTTCAGCGGGGTCTCCTCATGTTTTCAGTGGGGCCTCCTCATTTTTTCAGCGGGGCCACTGGAACACCTTTAATGATGTATTACGACCCCCATGGCAGGTGTCATTGTCCAGTAACTTATCAATACAGACCATCTTGATCCGATATTTATTATGGAGTATGTAAATCGTATTTATTGCCTTTATTTTAACGATAAAGGTAATATATGAACAGTAAATTATGCAAACGTGCATGTTGACGCCCCTTTCCTTCATGCAAGTACAAAATAATCATTTTTCATGTCATTTTTTGTCAAATATATCTGTTTTCAAAGTTTTGCTGGAGTATCAAAGAACGGTAATAAGTATTTTCATCCTTTTGGTTCATTTTCCAAAGTGATACAAATAAACAGGACTATGCTCGCGATTTCAGCGGGGACTTGCTCGCGATTTTTCAATCATAGCGGGGCTTTAGATATTACCCGTGGATTTTGTGAAGCTACAGCCACCATACTTCCGCTGCGAGCAAATATGGCTGAGGCTTTAATATTACGCTCCTTGTCACATATTAAAAAGTGGAACAGAAAATCCATGTTACTGTTAAACTGGTACACAATATTAGTTTATTCAATAAATAGAATAAAGGGGTAAATTACGTGTTTTAGAATCAGACAAGTGTAAACTGTTACACAGTCTAAAATCAAAACATATTTTTCAGACTAAAAACATATCTGCTCAACAAAGCATGAAATAAAGCCTACTAAAGATAAACTTCACTACAGTATAAACAATAAATGATTTCATAGTTAAAATATTTTATCAACAGTTTTAAGTTACACATGTACTTCTAATTTGTACATATATCAAAATGATCTACCTAATAAAACTTTAATATAAATGATGCATAACGAATTGATTTGGCACTCTGATTGGATAACGAACATGAGGAAGATGAGCTCAAAATTAAATCAGTCCCTCTTCTTCAACCCTTTAGCACTTTTGCATATGTGTTCGATCGGACCATATAAATAATGTAAATTCTCTTTTCAGGTTGTGTTTCCCATGTATCGATAGTTTTGCCGAGCCTTGTACATGGAAATTGGAGTTTACGGTTGACTGTGATATGATAGCTGTATCTTGTGGGGATCTGGTAGATACTGTTTATACACAAGATATGCGTAAGAAGACATACCATTACTACCTGTCTACTCCAACCTCTGCTTTCAATATTGCATTTGCAGTTGGGTGAGTAACTGATAAATGTGTTCAATTGCTGTGTAGATAAGGCCTTGATGTATATTATCATGCTCTATTGCAGATTTTAAGTAAGTAGAGATTTTCAATAGGACGGTGCATCATTTTCTGATTTTGAACAGGGTGTAGTGCCCTATTGCTCAAATGCTTATGATATTGCTTGATATATACTATGTTTCTAATATCACCACCACAAGACTCCCAACTTTTTTGTGGACAGCGGTTGGTGTTCAGTGTCTGTAACATAGCATCTGTAACAAATGGCAGGTGGTGACATTTTGCATGTTTATGCCTTGTCATCTTATATTTGCAGACCATTTGAGGTACTAGTTGACCCAAATATGCATGAAGTGACTCATTTCTGTCTGCCTCACTTGAAACCCTTACTGCAGCACACCACAGCATTTCTACACGAGGTATGGAATTTTGTCTCTCAATGTATTTACAAACTGTGTGTCTTTTTTGAACATTTAAATATATGTTAATACACCTTAAATGATGATGATACATCTTCAGTTTTTGAAAGGTAATTGAATTTATGTATATATAGTGTCCGTGTCGTAGAAGCTTAATAAATTCTTGCATTGGTGACAGTTGAGTATATATGCAAATGTAGTAGCTCAATAAATTATTGCATTGGTGACAGTTGAGTATATATGCAAATGTAGTAGCTCAATAAATTATTGCATTGGTGACAGTTGAGTATATATGCAAATGTAGTAGCTCAATAAATTATTGCATTAGTGACAGTTGAGTATATATGCAAATGTAGTAGCTCAATAAATTATTGCATTGGTGACAGTTGAGTATATATGCAAATGTAGTAGCTCAATAAATTATTGCATTGGTGACAGTTGAGTATATATGCAAATGTAGTAGCTCAATAAATTATTGCATTGGTGACAGTTGAGTATATATGCAAATGTAGTAGCTCAATAAATTATTGCATTGGTGACAGTTGAGTATATATGCAAATGTAGTAGCTCAATAAATTCTTGCATTAGTGACAGTTGAGTATATATGCAAATGTAGTAGCTCAATAAATTCTTGCATTAGTGACAGTTGATTATATATGCAAATGTAGTAGCTCAATAAATTATTGCATTGGTGACAGTTGAGTATATATGCAAATGTGGTAGCTCAATAAATTCTTGCATTAGTGTCATTTGAGTATATGCAAATGTAGTAGCTCAATAAATTCTTGCATTAGTAACAATTGATTATATATGCAAATGTAGTAGCTCAATAAATTCTTGCATTGGTGACAGTTGAGTATATATGCAAATGTAGTAGCTCAATAAATTCTTGGATTAGTGACAGTTGAGTATATATTCCAGTGAAGTAGCTCAATAAATTACTACACTGGCTTATATACTCAAATGCCTGCATTGGTGACATTTGAATATGTATGGTAATATAATAGCTCAATAAATTCTTGCATTTGTGACATTTGAGTATATATGTGTGGTAGTTTAATGAGTTATTTTGTAGGCATTTGAGTATATATGGCAGTGTGGTAGTTCAGTGAGTTCTTTTGTAGGCATTTGAGTATATATGCCTGTGTGGTAGTTCAGTGAGTTCTTTTGTAGGCATTTGAGTAAATATGCCAGTGTGGTAGTTCAGTGAGTTCTTTAGTAGACATTTGAGTATATATGCCAGTGTGGTAGTTCAGTGAGTTCTTTAGTAGACATTTGAGTAAATATGCCAGTGTGGTAGTTCAGTGAGTTCTTTAGTTGACATTTGAGTATATATGCCAGTGTGGTAGTTCAGTGAGTTCTTTAGTAGACATTTGAGTATATATGCCAGTGTGGTAGTTCAGTGAGTTCTTTTGTAGGCATTTGAGTATATATGCCAGTGTGGTAGTTCAGTGAGTTCTTTTGTAGGCATTTGAGTTAATATGCCAGTGTGGTAGTTCAGTGAGTTATTTTGCAGGCATTTGAGTAAATATGCCAGTGTGGTAGTTCAGTGAGTTCTTTTGTAGGCATTTGAGTATATATGCCAGTGTGGTAGTTCAGTGAGTTCTTTTGTAGGCATTTGAGTACATATGCCAGTGTGGTAGTTCAGTGAGTTCTTTTGTAGGCATTTGAGTAAATATGCCAGTGTGGTAGTTCAGTGAGTTCTTTTGTAGGCATTTGAGTATATATGCCAGTGTGGTAGTTCAGTGATTTATTTTGTAGGCATTTGAGTTCTATGAGGAGTTGATGTCCATACGTTACCCCTACAGTTGCTACAAGCAGGTATTTGTGGACCAGACATATGATGATGCACAATCTTTTGCAACTCTAACATTCTTAAGGTATGTTTTATAGATCAGGAAGTTCTCATTTCTATTGAATATAATGATTTATAACTCATGAAATTCGAAACTTAACCATCTACTCGGCCAAACAGGACGTGTTTGTTGTTTAATGTATTATGGTGCATAATTGCATGAAGACCCTTTTAGGTCTCTCAGGCAGATTTCTTGTTTAAAAACGATCTTAAAACTACAACAATAATATCAAAAGTACAACAAGTAATCAAATGCTTATTTCATTCCAACACATATGTGCAATGATTTTTCTTTTATTATTGTCAAAGCATATTTGGAACAAATGCATCAAGAGCTTTTATCATTTTCAGTTCAAATCTGTTGCATTCCTCCCGCATCATTGACCAGACCTACCTATCGCGTAGCATCATGGCTGAGGCAATCGCCAGGCAATTCTTTGGTACATTCATCACCATGGATACTTGGTGAGCAGCATTTATTACATTGATGTATGGGTAGCAATATGATTGGGGAAAGATAGCTAACATTTATGTGGTGTTTATTTGTACATCAAGGGTTCAGTTCCTTAACTTGGAGAATTTCAGAGAATTTATTTTAGATTCTAAGTTCATCTTTTATGAAATTATGAACTATTGATGCAGGTCAGATGCTTGGTTGCCAAAAGGAATATCATTATACCTTGCCTCTCTGTTTGTGAAGAGATTCTTTGGAACCAATGAATACAGATACCACATTTATGAAGTAAGTGCCCTTCTTTAAGCCTCGGTCACATTTACTCTATGGCGGCTGCAATGCTGCCGTAGCTTCACAAAATCGATATAGAAAATTGAAATCTCACTGCTTATCCTCATATTTTATGCTGCATGTTTCTTTTGATCTTGGGAAGCTACAGCCACCGCACAGTTGATGTCGATCAAAAGTGACCGCAGCATTATATAAGTTATTTAACATTAATTTAAAGCAACAGAAATAATATTTATCATTTATTTACAATGTCCAAAAAGTGTGACTATTTAATGACATTTTAGGAGCTGCAGTCTGTGATTGACTATGAGCAGAATGTATGTGGTATCGTGCTGGACCCATCCTCCAGTCTTGAGCATTGTACATATTTCCCGATACGCCACCCACACACTATCTCACCCAGGTACGCCCAAATGATGGAGAAGAAGGCTCATCTTGTTATACGCATGTTGGAGCTTAGAATTGGACCAGAATTACTTACACAGGTGAGTTATCTTTTTTGGACAACCCTCGTATATTTTATACACACCTATGTTCTCACCACATCGAATAGTCATCAGTATGTTGAGGAAAACTGAGGAATTACCATATATGGAGAAAAACTGAAGAATTATCATATATGGAGAACATCTGAGGAATTACCATATATGGAGAAAAACTGAGGAATTACTATATATGGAAAAAAACTGAGGAATTACCATACATGGGTATGATGATATTGCAAGATACAGTGTGCATTACATGCAACAATGGGATTTATGATGAGAACCCTGCACTTCGCACATGTGGTGACATATTGTTATAGTCTCTTGATTTTTTGTGACAAAGTCTGGCGGTTGGCATTCAGCATCTGTAACAAATGGCATTTTGCATGTTAATATGCCTTGTATTTTCCTTACAAGTTTAAATAAGAATACAATTTTGAATCAATCCAACTATACAGGCAATATCTCAAAAATCAAGCAATTATAATTCAATTTTGTTTTTAGCATTTGAAACTGTCTGATATTTGTCATTGTATAAATGAGATGATGTTCATTGTCTGGCAGTAATCGTCTACTGAAACATGGTTGCTTAGAAACTACAACTATGTTTCATATATGATATTACACTCTATAACTACAAGTTTTAACAGAAAAGACCTTGGAATTCCATTGTAAAGTTCTAATACTGACAAAAGGTTATGTCAGTATGATTAACTGATAAGAATTTTCTTTGAAAATAAGACTTCAAAGGCCCCATATAGCTCATGTTATACAATCAAAAAAAGTGAAATATCTTTTAAAGGAACCTTCTACTGTATCGACCATGTTATCTGACCTGAATTAGCCACCTGGTGGTGAAATTGTTAACTTCCTACTGTCATCTGGGTTATTGCCATTAGTTTACAGGCACAAAAAAACTATTTACTGGGACATTTTTATTTAGTTTATGAAACATTTATGGAAATAATGGTGTATTCATATTACATTTATTTATGTGACTACTTTTTGCTCTTTAGTTATCATGACGTACGTACTACATATGTCCAAAAGTCAGTTCATATTTCATGAGCATATCAACATAGTGAAGGAACTTAGTGAAGGAATTAAGGATTTAAGCCCTGAACTTATATTTGCTGAAGCGTTCCATTGAATAAATTGTTTCCAAATCTTTGCATGACCGCGCAGCAGGAATGCAAAGTTTAACAACTGTTTAACAAATGATTTTGAATGCGGTTATTAGTGATATAATGCACTGCAGTTATGTGAAAGACTGTGTTCGGATTGGCTGGAATCGGACACACTTTTCCTAGCTTTGTGTGAATGCCTATTCATGTAATAGTCTAGTAACAATTATGAATCAATCCATGCAAACAGGTACTTTTAATATATTATATAGTTTGTGGTTTTCTTCAATCTGTTTTGGATATTGTTATACATAGTTGGAAAGCTCAATCAGATTACCATCCGGATCTCTTATATACACAGAGAGAATTGTACCATGAGCTCCGGTCCTCTCTACAGGGCCTTCTTCAATGGGTATCCCCAGATCTTTCAGTCTATCAATCACAGCATCAATGGGGGTTTTTGTGATAAAACACAGATCAGTAGAGCCAGGTGTAGGACTTCTAGCTTTAGGCTCAAATTCTTTCCCGGCTTGATGGAGATTGATTTTTGATTGGCCGAATGCTAGTGCCTTTCTTGTTCCCTTGAATGTTGTTACAGTCATACCTAGTACATCTGTATAGAAGTTGATAGTCTTATCCATGTCTACAACAGTGAGAACTATGTGATCAATGTGGTCTATAAGGATCTCCATTCTCATGAAACACTTGTACTTATGAGGTATCCTTTATTTCCCAGTTCCCAGTTCTTCAATATGTTGATCTACTTCAGGATCAATGTAAAATGTTAATGCTGTATTAGAGAGTAGACAAGATATGCACATGAGAACTAGTCTAACTTATACTATAGTGGCATTGCTTGCATATACAGTTTGAATGCTTCTCAGTGTGTGTTATTCTTAATCTAAATGTTGAATACATGTACTAGTGTATCACTTTGTTAACCTTATTCAAACATAAAGCAAAGTTGTATATTGAAGCATGTTTGAACACAACAGTTTTATCATCCAATGTACAGCAAAGCCAACACTAAAGTACTAAACTTAGTTCACTACAGTATACTTAAAGACATGTTAAGCAGACTTCTCCGTGGCATTTTTTCTTTATTCCTTTTTGTTTTGAATTTTTTACACCATAACATTAACTACCTACTCAATATGCAACTTTTCACCACGTAGAATTTTAAAATATTAAGTTTGAAAATTCCATTTTTATAATGGAGCTCAATGGGAAAAATGACATAATTTGGATTATTTTCAAACGTAGCGGCGCGATTTTCTTGAAATTGACATATATAATGAATATTGGTAAGACGAAGTGTTTGAAGAAAAATGAAGAAAATTCACCATCCTGGTTACGCAAAATATAGCAAAACGTGAAATAATCATAAAAACCTGTAAAAATAGATTGAAGGGGGTGATATTCATTTTAATGTGCCTTTCACACCTACAGGGTAACCATAGTTTTGGTAATGGTTTACTAATTTTAAAAGCATATCTTCCAGCATGTGTATCAAGCGGAAGTAATACAATAAGTGAGTTATCATTAATTGGAATGGTATTATTATATTCTTTAGCAATGATGACAAAAAGGTAAAATCAATTATATCACATACTAGTTCTTACCATCAAATCGATCTGTTATAATGCATATTAAACAATATAGCAGTAGATCTTCAAATTCAAGAATTGAGCTAAATTGTAAGATAATAGATAAATTGCTAATCTCTCTGTATAATCCCTTTCTCTGAATCATACTAAATTATAATATTTCGGTATGCTTATTTTAGCTGCTGTAGTTTAGGTCACTTGATGAGATATTCAGTAACATGCTGTCACTAGAGACAAAACTTGACACTCAATAATCACTCGAAATAAACGATATGAATTCTTCATATTTTCTTCTTTTGTAATACATCCATTCTTGAAAATTAGCATTCAAAGCTTTTCAATGCAATCAGGAATTTAATGATCTGACCCTTAAAAAACTTTTCAGGGGGAATAGTTTGTCCACCTGTAGCCCTTAGGTGTATTATCTTTTTCTAGCCATATTTTCCTAGGCCTGCTGGAATACCTATTTCAGTGTGCAAGTTTAGCATTGTTTTCCCATTGATCATTTGAGTTCTCATGTCAATAAATGGAAATAAAAGTGATAGAGTAGTTTATTTTATTGTATAAATCAAAAATAAAACAAGGTTGTCAGGAAGGGAACAGGTGAAATCCTTGGGATATATGAATTAATTAATTATAAGTTAGAAACATATTCATGTTTCTACAATTTAGGGTAACCCTGTGTATTATTCTACTGTGCATGGTTATACCCGTGCAAAATATTACAAAATGTTATTTACTTATTATCATAATTCAATGTGACAATATCAGTCTTATCTTCAAATTTGTCTATAATAGTTTGCCTGTAAGGTTGGGCAAGCCGTCTATTACTTTGATAGTATAAGATGTTGATTTTGCAAAGCTCTTATGGGCTAATTCTACAATATGTACAGTAACATATATGTAAGGGTGCAAGTATGTAGTCCAGTATGTAGTAAACAAAGGAGTATTTTGGTCAACTCAATACATCTGATAAACACTACATGAAGTGTTTTCTATGCAATGATTATATACAAGCTGCTTATTCATTGTTACTGCGAATTTCAAAAGCTTCCGAATTGTGTGGAATAGAGCATGCAATGTTTTTCAGTTTCAAGCAGGTTTTAGTACATTCTGACCAATTGTATTTTCAGACTGATTCATTTCATGATTATGTAATACTGACCTACTTATCTGCTTAACATGTCTTTAAACATGATTTACTAAAGTACACAAAATATTGGTTTCTATCATAGGTGTAACTAACTAAACTGAGAGGAGCTACTGAAGCACCATAATGAATAAAATCATTTCTACTGAAGCACTATAATATTCTTATAAAATCATTCACTTTATAGATGTCAGTAATGGGAGGTTCATTGCTAGTTTGATAAAGTTGTAGTAAAATTTGTTGTGGTTTATGTTGTTTTGTTAGCTCACATGGTGAACCATTGCAATCACTCACTTGTCTGTCTGTTTTTCTATCTGTCCGTCTGTCAACAATTGGCCCGTTCTAAAACCTCTGTCAATTGGATTCCCGTTTTTAAGCTATATTTGTTCAACATCAATATAGAAAACCCCCCTATGACTCCTCCTGTTTCAAAAGCTCGCCTATTTTCAAATATTTCATTTTCTTCCACTTTAGCCATCATTCACTTTTAAGCAACATCATGTGAGCCCAGTACCCACGGTACTATTTATTTGACGAACATTACCGAACATTACCCTTTGTGCTTTTTATCAGTGAAGTATATTGATTTACTGGTATAGTGAATATGAGGTTTTCTTTGGATTCTGTTTACATTGTAGTTTCGTGAATGCAGTTAACGCTTGTGAGGTTATGTTGCCCTGCAAGTTGATATTCTTTATAGATGTCAGTAATTGATTGTTGGAAACGGTATACTTCAGTAAAAGGAAGTGACATTTCTCAAAAAAGAACCAGAAAAATCAGAATAATATATTCATAAATGTCATAGTTTTAATTAAAGCTATCGAAAGCTGACAATTAAAATATATTATGATTTGAAATAGAGTTTAATTGATTTATTAGGTTGTGATTTGGGTGACTTTTCATTAAGACAATTGACATTATGCTACCAAAAGCAATTCTTATTTAAATGAAACTTTGGGAGAGAGCTCGTGAAAGCAGTTAGTGTTCTATAAAAGCTTAATATAGTTTTATATGTAATTGGTTAAACCGTCTCCAGCCATTGCTTAACTACACACAAACAAGAAAACAAACACTGGTAAGCACCTTCCTCTAGGCTGGGTGTCTCAGACTAGTTGATTGAGCCCAATTAGATCTAGGCAATGGGTTGTATTCAAGGTTAAGGCCATGTAGACAACCCAGGTTGCTTCTAGCATTGCTAGATCATCCTTAGTAATAGGGATGTGCTCAAGTTCTAGTGGCTAGAAGTGATTCCCACAGCCGTGGGTTACTGAACATTGCTAGCAGGTAATCTGAGGCATAGAGGGGGGTGCTTGCCTTTTGTTATTATGTCCCCACCACATAGTGTGGGGGCCATATATATTGTTGGCCTAGGTGCATCTGTCAGTATGTATGTTTTCCGTGCATAGGTCCGACAGTTTTCTCCTTCAACCCCAATAATGTGAATATATAGTAATAATGTGTACAGTACAGTTCAAATAATAATATATAGTAATAATGTGTACAATTTCAAATAACAATATCAAATAATGATAATGAATTAGAACACTTATAATTCAGTGATTGAAATATAACATGAAATAACTGTTGCTTGTTATGGGTTGGCTTAGAATGCAACTGACCCCAATCTGCGCTACCTAGGTCTGGGACCGCAGACAACCACATGACCCAGGATCCACCTTCTTAATATTCATTTATTCATAGAAGGCAAAAGATACTGTCTTCTCACAAAACACTTTATGATACATAAAAACTATTTATTTTCAGGTTTTTAACAAATTGTTGTCCCTAGCAACAAATGCATCAACACAAAAGACCAATTATGACCTTTGGGGACATATGCTGCTCTCAACATCTTCCGTAACTATACATTTTTTGACATTTCTTGTTAGCAATCAAATTGTTCAGCAACATGTTTAGTAGTCCTATTATACACCTATTATTGGAAGGTAATACTAATTTTGATTCATATATATATTCAGATAGTTGTTTGTCTGTTGTACAGTTCATTGCAATTATTTGTGCCTTGTATAGTTTCAACTGTTGCAATTGTTTGTTTATACTATACAACTTGTATGATAGTGTTGTAGTTGTGTGTTTATGCTATAATATATAATGTTGTAATTGTTTGTTATGTTTTAGTTTCTGAGGGGAATCTCCACTGTTACAGGGAAAGATGTGCAAGTTTTCATCGATCAATGGGTGTATCCTTTCATATTATATTAATAATATTGGCCAATTTTTTATTTATTTTTATTTTAAATTCAAATTGTACTTTTAGTCATCCTTAATCGTTATTTTTATGAGTTAGAGTGAAGTTTCAAAATCATTTCACAGGTGTTATTGAAAAAACATATATTTGTTTGAATTTTTTTTATTATTTAATTGGATTGCATTTGATGTAGTGGCATACAAATACAATGTGTAAAAGTAAATTAAAGTCTTAGTTCCTTCACATGCTAATAGGTGTCAGAGTGGATGTCCCAAGTTCAGCGGGAATTTTGTATTCAACAGGAAGAGGAACGTTGTAGAACTTGAGCTGAAGCAGGACATCTCTAGTCCTGGAGATCTGAAATATGTTGTAAGATGATCACTTTTTTTTCTTCTTATCCCTATTTTTTATGCTGCATATTCTCCCGTATATGGGAAGCTACAGCCGACATTAGGTTGCTGTAAATCAAATGTGGAAATATTTGCATGTTAACTTGTATACTGGTAGACATGTCCAATATTCACACTAGCCTCACCTTAAAAACTTAAACTATTGTATGAAATCCTATGTATTGGGACCTTTTCTTCATATCTGCATTATCATCATCTTTGTTTAAAGATTTATTTGGCTGTGTTAAGTTTTAATATCTTCTGAACAGATGCAGAGATATAGGAAAGCAATTTTATTGAATAAAGGTTTATGGGCATTGAATTTCTGCTTGAAAAGGAATTTTCAATGAAGAAATCCTACAGAAGGTTGCGTTGCTCTTTCCAGTACTGGTCCATTGTTGTTTTGAAGCCTTCTTGGGTAGTTTATTGGACATGCACCTCCATACGTATCTATGGAGCTTCAATTGTTGGTTAAAATGTGTTGTTTTTTTCTTATCAGGGCCCCCTTACAATGACCATACAAGAGCTGGATGGATCCTTCAAACACACATTCAAAATAGAGGAGAATAAAACAAAGTTTGAAATTACATGCCACTCTAAAAGCAGAAGGTGAGAATAAGTAGACATTACACCAGAAGTGGTGACATATTGTTATAGTTTTTTTGTGGATGGTTTTCCTCTATTGGCGTTTGGCATTCAGCAGTTGGTGTTCAGCATCTGTAACAATTTCTTCCAACTTATAATAACTAAACAAGTACTGTTTAGACTGACTTCACCTTTTTGTTGTCAACATATATAAAATGTTATGAGTTCCAGCACATTTCTGCCAATATCTTTTACCATGGTATTGAAGGTCAAAAAGGTCTTTTTTCAGCTTGCTTCAAATTGACTAATTTTTTCAAAATCATCTACAAGGTCTCAGAAGTTCAAATCTAACTTTAGATTTGAGATTTGATCTTGACGTTCAATGACCTTCGAACGGTGGTGGCATTCTGTTATGTTAATGCCTTGTTTAAATCCGATTACATCATTGATTGCATTGAGAACTTAAATTATAGAAGCTATTATTTTTTATTTTTCTGAATCTCTTTTCTGCACCTGTGAGTTAATTTTCCAGTCATCTAAATTTTGTATACGAAAATTAGATTACGATGTATGTTATGGTGGAAAGAATTTCTTATCACTAGAATATGACAATCAAAATTTTAAAATTTTATTTCAAATGAATTCAAAATAAAAGTCCTTAAAATAAAAAAAAGTTTCACATATCACATTTGGACAGCATTAGACTACAATATATACCAAAGCAATTTTAACTTCACATGGAGGCGTTTCATCTTTAAATCATTTTGATTCAGGAATTAAACATTTTTAATTCATATTCAAGCCTCCAGGAGTAAAGAAGCATATTTTCCAATTCATTTTATTCATCAATCAATTAATCAACCCTTTACTCAATCAACTATGGATTTCACTGCAATATTGTTTCAATTTTCAATTCTACAAAGGCCTGGAATTTCATTTTTGTCATTGTGCTTATTAAGAACATTAATTTCAAAATTGTGTTTCAAATAGGTCATACTGACCTCCATGTAGAAGGTCACACTGACCTCTATGTATTTATCAAATAATTATTTTATTTCAAATTGTTAATTAGTAAATTAGTTTGAAGACTGGTAATAAAACTTCAATTCAGGATCAGAGAAAAACTCAAATCAGCAATCTCACAACAATTGTGCTAAATATAACTAACTCTATTTCAATGCAGTTTAACATTTTGATTGACAGTTCTATTTTTGGAAGTGAAATTGAATACCTATGTTAAAGCTCCAAGGTCAAGCTGATCTGGTCACTCTCTAAGACAATTTAAAAACAGAATTTTGACTGAAATTGATAGATTTAGTGTTCATTTTTCTCTGGTTAAAAATTATCTATAGACAAATTGACCTTTCAAGTCATTGTTAACAATCTAATATCAGTTTACTTGAGTGGTTTTTACCATGATAGTTTTGATGTGAAAAGAGGTTTTTGCAGTATTTTATAGGACTGTTTTGTCAGAGAATTTCTATAAAAAGAACAAGCATAATATTCACAAGTTCCAGTTACTCTTTTTATTAATATTTAATTTGGGTAACCAATTTTCAATCTGTGGAGAACTTTAATTGCCTTAATTGAAATAAATAAATAAACAACAAAAATTAAATTTACATGTTAATTTTTCAAATTATGAAATTAGATGCTTGGCTCCTTAAGAATATGATTAATACTAAAATCATAATCATATAAAATACATGTTGAAAAAAACGAAAAGTCTATAACAATCTATAACAAACAACTTATAACTTACATGTTGGTGATGTTTGTCATTTTAATGCTTTGTTAAATGGTGGAAGAACTATCTAACCCCCTGGGGTCTAACCCAAGTTAGCCACTTGGCAGTGAAACATCAATCTTTCCAGTATTTAGAAATGTACACATATTGTAGTCCGATACATCTACAATAAAATCAAAAGATTACATAAGATCAATCATACATGTATTTTATTTAAACACTACTATAGTACCTGGAATCACTTCATATTTTTCTCAATAGACAAAAGAAGAAGAAAATCCCATTAATGACTGGTGAGGAGGTTGACATTGACTTGAGTTTCATGGATGCTGATTCGCCAGTTCTTTGGCTGAGGCCTGATGGGAATATGGAGCTCTTGCGCAAGGTAGTCTGGGAACAGCCTGACTTTATGTGGCAGTACCAGCTAAGACATGAGAGAGATATTATAGCCCAGCTGGAGGTTAGACTTTATGTTTGCTATTAGAACTATGAGTAGATGTATGATTTGGGGCATTTCAAGATTAATCCACTGTTGGAATTGTAACATTTTGAGTTTTCTATTCATGAATAAGATGAATATATACTAAGTTGGTATCTTAATCCCATAAAAGTTTCTATTTTACACACCAATCCTGTTTTTGTTTTTTTTAGTTCATTTTTGATTAAATTTAATTATTATGAACATGTATTTCAAAGTTTATTAAGTGGATTCGATAAAAATCTATTTGATTGTGTTACTTGCAGGCTATCAATGCACTAGAAGGCTACCCTACCCCTGCAACACGCATGGCACTTACTGACTGTATTGAGAATGAGCAATGCTTCTACAGGGTGCGACAGTCTGCAGCTAAATGTCTAGCTAAGGTACAGTACCATGCACAATATTATATATAGATATTTTCTTATTTATTTATAAGTTGCACAAGATCAAAATCTGGAGGTATCAACATTCTAAGAGGTTATATTATGGCTAACCAATATTCCCAAAATTGTAAATGTATTACCTGAGTAAAGTTTATACATCTAGGAAATGCACATGTTTTTTCATTTGTAGGTAGCCAATGCTATGTCCATCAACTGGGTTGGGCCACCTGCTATGATACAGATCTTCCAAAAGATGTTTGGATCCCACGCTAACAAGAACATTGTACGTCTCAATAACTTCACCCATTTTCAACAGTACTACATACAAAAGGTGAGTCAGCTTTCTCTTTAATGTACATTGTAAATATACTTTTACTTTTTTTTTTCTTATTTTAAAATGAGTTTCTTTGTTTTCCTAATAATTTTCACTAAAAAATTATTATCCAATAAAAACGTATTTTAACTGAACACATTTAATGAACAGTACTTCGTAATGTAAAAATACAATGTCATAATCTTAACCTTGGTTTATAGAGTATACCTGTTGCTATGGCATCATTGAGGAATGTCCACAACATCTGCCCACCTGAGGTTGTTAGGCTTATTCTTGACCTTGTCAAATATAATGATAATGGCAAAAATAAGGTAGGTCAACACTTCATTTCATTCATGCAAACTGCAAATACTGTATGCCAAAACCCTGGCATATCTGATTCAGTATCATTCAAGGCCCATGGCCACCTTTGTCAAGGGGGTTGAGTTTTCGAAAAATTCCAAGGGGGTTCACTTTTGACACTTTTGCCCAATATCACTAGAAAAGTGCTCAAAACTCAAAATGGTGAAAACTGCACTTTTTTGAAAGAATTTTTGACCAAGGGGGGGGGGTCCCTTGAACCCCCAGAACCCACTCCCAACAGCCCCATTTATTCAATTGACAAAATGCTGAGTGCCAATCCAAAAAGTGCTTGTGGCCAAGTTTTTCACCTTGTACTTTGAAAAAACATTGTTATTTCAGAGCAAACGTCATTCAATGCTTTTCAATCACTGTCTACGAAGGTATAGTTCCTTAGACATCAATCTAATTTTTTCCATATTTATATGAATCACATGAAAACATATACATTATTACATGAATATGGAGAATCAAGCCGAAGTTTACACATTATTGGTTGTGGAGATACATTTACATGAATCTTATAATCAGGATTTCAATAGTTTCTTTCATGCGCCTTATTCAGGTTTATTTTATCAAACTGAGCCTTAAATTACTTTTTGACAGCAACCTGGTGGATCTGCACCAATGAAAAGAACAATTTGTTTTCAATGTAATGTTTTAACTTTCAGTTTGATGACAACTATTACAAAGCTTCATTGATAGATTCCTTGGCTGATACTATCACCCCTGCAGTGGCCATGTTAGCACTTCCTGGGTAAGAATATCTTCATACCAGATCATGTATATCTTGAAATAATGTTTTTTATTTTACCACCCTATATTTTTATAGTCTCCAACTTTTTTGTTGATGACATTTTGTGGTTGAAGTTCATTTCTTGGTGTTTGGCATCTGTAACAAATGGCAGGCGGTAACATTTTGTCTGTTATTAAATATTCCATAGAATTATTGTTTAGTGTGAAAAGTAAGAAATTTTGATGTATGGCATGGCTACAAGCCTACAATGCTATCAATATGCAATATTGATGAAGAAAAGTCAGCCAGTCCAGTAGCTCAGGCAGATTTAAGCTAGGAGTCTAGGGTTCGATCCCCACATGGGTGGACTGACTTTTTCACATCAGCCCTTAGCATAGAATTTTGTTCATTGTTTTCAATAGTTTCTCCATGTTTCAGACAAGGCCCCAGTGTTAATTCATTGGGAAGTGAAACTCGTGCTATCGTAGAAGAAGTTGTACGGAGCCTCAATCTGGAGAAACTCTTGCCTTGCTATGGTCTTGTTGTTTCTATCAGGTAAAATGGAATATTGAATCATTATATTACAATAAATAATGTTAAGCTGAATTTGATTATTACCCCACCATTTAGAACAACTGGTAGACTTAAAGGCCTCGTGTATAGTTTAAAAATATGTTTTCATCACTCATTTACTCTAAATTCATCATTTTTGAACCAAAAGTCCTTCAAAACCACATCTTGAAATTTTAAAAAAAGTTTCACGTATCACATTTAGATAACATTTGGTAAGACTAATATGAGCCAAAGTAGTTTATTTAAACTTGAAGGTATAACCATTCTTACTTCAGTTGTTTGAAGGCTTTGAGGAAGTTGCAGAAATTTGGCCACCTTCCCAGTGATATCTCAATCTTCAAGGCCTACACAGACAAAGGAATCTTCAAACTACTTCGTTTAGAGGCATTCAAGGCAGTTGTGGATTATGTCCATGGTGAGTAAATGTTATTTGCTTAATTTTCAAAACATATTTTATATTAGCTCAGATAGAATAACGCAGATGCGAGTAGGTAGTTACCAGTTTCATTACCAGGTGGCTCGTTCGGGTCAGATAGCATGGCGAGTATAGGAGAAAGTTCCCTTTAACTTAAATTACATCTGTTTTAGTGGTTCAATTTTCATATAACCCTTATGTATCTAATAGTTATGCAAATTAAAATATGTCCAGTAAAAGAAAATATTATCTGTCCAATACAAGAAAAAAAAAATTTCACTTTTTGTGATTTTGTAACATGGGCTCTATGGGGAATCAACCCGAACAAGAAGTCACATTTAAAAAAAAAAATGTCAAAGTTGATAAACAACTTTTGAAACCATATATTTAGATGTACTTTTACATGTAGATTTCAAATATGACATCACTTTGACTGAATTTTGAATATTTAATGACGTAAATCAAGATTATTTCTACTCGCATCTAGTCTATTGATCCAAATTCGCTGTATGTTTGGTCTATATTTGTTAGAAAGCAATAATTTTATGAGATTTGGACAGTGGGAACATTTGCTTTTGCTATTTTAAAGTGGACATTGATTTGCTTTTTCTAAATTATCAGAAATGTGATTGTGCAAGGTAGTAAAGCATGGTATGTTGATGTTGATTAATGATGTGTTTCAGTTGAGGAAAGTGAGAAGGAGCTCCAAGAACTATTAGATGTTGTAGAATATGATCCCGATCCCCATATAAGGTAACATCCTATCATTTACCTTATGATGTTTCAAGCTGTGGTAAATGAAACTCAAAGAACAACTTTATATGTGTAAATACATTGAATATCATTTTTTGCATTTGATTTTAGAAATTTTTTTTAAACCCAAATGAAATGAACCAAGCTCTTGATATTATTTTTCAAACTATACCTTGCTATTACCACATTTTTTGCTTTTTATGTCACCACCAGAAGTGTTGATGTATTGTTATAGTGTGTCTTTTTGTGGACGGTGTTTTGCAAATGGCAGGTGGTGACATTTTGCATGTTAATGCCTTAATGTTAATGCCTAATATTAAACCAGTCATTATAACACCTTCAATAACTTATGTAAAATGAACCTCTTTTATGAGAACAGTTCCAAGTGGTGCACTGTCTTGAGGTATCCATGAGTGACCACATCCACAAGTTTTATTGTTAGCACCTTGATCAGTTGAAATACTCAATTCTGATTGGTTGATTAGTGGTCAACAATATGTACTGTTGACCGATACTAGGTGCTGTTGACCGCTACTTTTGAAAAAAAAAAGTTATGCCAGTTGACCTCAAGAGAGGTCTACAATTGTATATTGTATTAAAATTATGGAAAATACTTAATCATTTTCAGACATAGTGTCGTGAGATTTCTGATTGAGAAGCCTCCATTTGCACGCAACAAGAAGCACAAACTGAACACAGAGTACCTGGTTGACAGACTATGGGGACTAATGAAGTAAGCTCTATAATGCCAGTCACTTTAAAAATCTACCAATTGATATATGTATATATATTTGAAATGGATTAATAATTCAGACTATACTTCGACTATATTAATCGTGATAATATAATGACTATCAGTATTATCAAAATAATATAAAGTTGTTATTTTCCAGTGCTAAGGTGTCATCTGACACGAGACTGAGATGTGACATAGCTGACCTTTACTACACACTGTATGGAAGACATAGACCTGTATGTCTCCCTATACCTGAGGTATGAAGTACCGTGTGCTCTGTAATTAGCGCCCACTCTCTAATAAGCGCCCATCCCACTTCACAAAGCTAAGAAATACCGAGAAATGACCAAGTATAAATGAATATATCAGAAAAAATCAAATTTCCAAAGAAATTCAAGTAGGCAATAATAGAGTATATAGGCCTGTAGTGATGCAATGACTATACATGTAACAATATCCTTTTTGTTGAACTCTAGAAATCAAGTAAACATGTTAGTCTTGCCTCAAGACCCAGGACCCCCCATCTACCTGTTGTAAAATGGTTAAAGGGAGGGGGGTCAGGGTCTTGAAGCAAGACTTTAAACATGTTTTTATGAACTATAAATTGTCTGAAAATCCCTGGATGATAAAACGGTATGAATTGGTGGCTGTATTTTCGCAAATATATTCCATTGGAAATGCGTTTTTTTAACAGATTTATTTCATTTACTTTATTTTGTTACAGAATGTAATGGTATTGAATCTGAAGAAGAAAACAACTCAAATGAATGCAAGTTTATTGGAGGCATCTGAGGTATGTTCTGTTTATATCTAGCCTTTAATTAATATTAGTATGATTCTAAAATGTAAAACTTCTACAGGAAGATGTCTTTTATGATGTCTCTTTTTAGCTCAAATGGTGAGCTATTGCAATCACTCTCTTGTTTCAAATAAGCAACAATCAGCAACTAAAAATAGCCCACACACTTGATCAAAACAATGATTGGTCTTAATAATAACATCTTCATTATTTATAGGCTAATGCCACAGGCCCGTAGCCAGGATTTGCCAAGGGGGGGTTCAGTTTTCAAAAATTTCCAGGGGGGGGTTCACATTTGACAATTTTTGCCCAAATATGGCTAAAATCACTTGAGAAGTGCTCAAAATGGTGAAAAACTGCATGATTTTGAAAGAATTTTTGGCCAGGGGGGGGTTCGTCCGAACCCTGCGAACCCCCCCTGGCTACGGGCCTGTGCCATATGAAGTTACGAGCCATAGGACCTCTCTTAGACGAGCAATAATTTCTAATATGGTGTAACATCATGTAATAGGTTTTGATTTTGAGACCATACTTATGTCTATTTTATACTCATAGAACTATTCGATCTTTAAGTCTCTCATAAGCTGGACCGGCTGAGCTGTTGTTTTAATCAATTGTATCAACATGTATTTTAAATTGTACAGCGTGAGACTCTAATAAATACCTTACTTACTTACTTACTTACTTACTTACTCTATTTTTTTCTGTCATGAAATATGTTTCATTCAGTGGGATTTGCCACTCTGGGGAATTGTTGTTTTGCTAGTTCAAACAATGCTTTGTTAAATTGTTTACAGGAGGAGCTTCTGGAAGATTTAGGTGGAAGATACAGTCCTTACAGGGAGACTTCTCCTGTTAGAAGTGGCATTAAGAGACGTGCAAGCTCCCCTCTCTCACCTGTGCAACGACCCCCACCCCCTGGAGAATCTCAATCGCATCAAGATGATATGAGTGCTTTCTCATTTAAGGTAAAATATTGTGTTGATGTACATCATTAAAGGGTGACGCATATTGTTAAGCAAATTGAACCCTTGTTTCAGGTGTTGCTCACTGTTTAGTATAAAAGGCCCAATTCCGGAATAATTCTCAAGGGTTCACAGGCTTGAGGTCGTTGTGTCAACACCTCTAACTGTTATATAGCATAAGTATACTCTCTCAATAATGTTTTCAGAATCATTATAAATGGATTACTTTATCTCAAAGACACTTTCAATAAACTGGATCTTACAAAACTCCCCTTATTTCTTAAAAATTGACTGATCCATTTGACTCACCTAGAGCCGCCATATTGTTTTTATACGGAAAGCTTATCGGAACTAAAATAACTGCAGAGTCTTGTGTTCAGTCGCCCTCTACAGTACAACATTTAACTATCTAAATCAGTGTTTTGAATAGTTATGCAAATAAATTCACCAAAAATACAGTTCGACCCCTCCCCTCAGTTAAGCAGAATGAAATTTGGTAGACTTGTACATTATAGAGGAAGATATACAGATTTGTAAATGACTAATATTTGAGACAATATCCATTGAAAATTTTTTATTAAGCAGTTACTATGACAACCAGTTTTAAATCAAAGCCTTTTGGAGATCATTTACATTGTTGCACTGATATAAATAGACTGATATCTTAATTTTGACTTCATATCTTTTATGTTCTGATTTTATGTGATAAATATATGACCTACAAGTTTGATTGTTCTTGATTTACAGTGTACATGTAGCTCGGAATGTTGTATATAAAGAATGTATTATTGTAGGATGTTAATATGGATAGAGCTCCTCTTAGACTCTCTAGCCCAGACTCGTCACCACTCAAGTCTCCCCCTACTGGATTTGCTTCAGAGTACATGAAGTTTGCTGGGGTAAGTTATAGTAAAAACTGTATATTTGAAGATCTCTCTTATCTGAATACCTCCCATTTTTAGATTTCCATGTTTAAACCTTGAAATATGAAAATCCTCTGTTTCAAACTGATTTTAGAGCCTGGGATTCAAAAGGTTAAAATAGTAGTTCATCAACAAGAAATTTCTTGGGGTTCCTTACAATACAAAACAATAAACGAGGGATTCTTTATCTTGTGACATGTTAAAATGTGTACAGGGTATACAATATCAATCTATGAATGGAATCAGGATGCAACTGAAATTACTGAGGTGATAGTTTTACATCTTGCTTATACCATACATGCAACTTTCAGAGCAAATCATAATTATGATTTCATTTTAATGATGAACTTTGCTTTATAGGTGAGTGAGATTATGCCTCCTATGTTTGAGCAGAAATCACCTCCCATCCCTGCTGGACTTCCACTTGTCTCTCCTCCCATAATGACATCAAATATAGGTAAGATCTTCTACAGTCTAGATTCCATTATAAATGAGCCCTACCCACCCATAATGACATCAAATATAGGTAAGATCTTCCACAGTCTAGATTCCATTTTAAACAAGCCCTACCCACCCATAATGACATCAAATATAGGTAAGATCTTCTACAGTCTAGATTCCATTATAAACAAGCCCTACCCACCCGTAATGACATCAAATATAGGTAAGATCTTCTACAGTCTAGATTCCATTATAAACAAGCCCTACCCACCCGTAATGACATCAAATATAGGTAAGATCTTCTACAGTCTAGATTCCATTATAAACAAGCCCTACCCACCCATAATGACATCAAATATCGGTAAGATCTTCTACAGTCTAGATTCCATTATAAACAAGCCCTACCCACCCATAATAACATCAAATATCGGTAAGATCTACAGTCTAGATTCCATTATAAACAAGCCCCACCTACCCATAATGACATCAAATATAGGTAAGATCTTCCACAGTCTAGATTCCATTTTAAACAAGCCCTACCCACCCATAATGATATCAAATATAGGTAAGATCTTCTACAGTCTAGATTCCATTATAAACAAGCCCTACCCACCCATAATGACATCAAATTTAGGTAAGATCTTCTACAGTGTAGATTCCATTATAAACAAGCCCTACTCACCCATAATGACATCAAATATAGGTAAGATCTTCTACAGTCTAGATTCCATTATAAACAAGCCCCACCTACCCATAATGACATCAAATATAGGTAAGATCTGCTACAGTCTAGATTCCATTATAAACAAGCCCCACCCACCCATAATGACATCAAATATAGGAAGGATCTTCTACAGTCTAGATTCCATTATAAACAAGCCCTATACCCACCCAAAATGACATCAAATATAGGTAAGATCTTCTACAGTCTTGATTCTATTATAAACAAGCCCTACCCACCCATAATGACATCAAATATAGGAAAGATCTTCCCCACTCTAGATTCCAGCCTGTGGTCAGTTGAAGAGGTTGATGTTACAGTAATATGCATACAGTCTTCTCTCTAATGAGCGCATAGTTCCAATGAGTGCACATGATGTGATTTTTACGTTGAATATGGTCTCAAAAAATGAAAACTTAATGCTTTAGTTTCGATTATTATTAAATACAAGATATTGATTGATGATTATATTTTATTGAATGCAGAGAAAGAAATACAAGAGATGTAGATTATGTAAACCTTAATGATAACAACTTAAAAGATAATCTGCAATATTCTGTTCTAAATTTTTTGTATCTGTGCATGGAATCTCTCCAATATCTCACCCTTCTAACTTTCAATTTGGAAACCACAATTTGCACTCATTAAGAGAGAATATGAAAATGGTATTTATAAGTAATGTCAAGAACTGCTGTTATACAGAAACTCATTTGATATAAAACTGTTGTGTAATGAATATAGTACACAGTATAAGTCTGAGTTTGAGAATAGAAATATAATTATCGTAACCTATTGACCCACTTCCTATTTCAGATATCCAAGAAGAGGTCATAATTATGGATGATGACAGTAGATCAAGCTTCACTGAATCGCAGCGAATAAAATCTGAAAAATCCAGCCAAGATTCCCACCACCCTGATAAACATGATAGCTCTAGTTCAAAACATCATAAGAAAAAGAAAAGGAAAGACAAGCATAAGAAACACAAAAAGCATAAGCATAAACATGATAAGCACAAACTGAGCGACACAGATAAAAAATCAGAGAATATAAGTTCTGGGACAAGTACGCCTGTAGGTACAAGCCAGAGACTGTCACCTCCCAGTTCCCCTGATTTCCAAGTCATATAATCTAATGTGTAATTTATATATTAAACAATACTGTCTATTTTGCTGGCAAAATTCATTTATATGACCTTATGTGACATCTGTTTAGATGATTACTGTGGACTTGAGCTACTTATGTCCATGGTAATATTGACTAATTTTTATGTCACCACTAGAAGTGGTGAAATATTGTTTTGTCACCACTAGAAGTGGTGAAATATTGTTATAGTCTCCAACTTTTGTGAACAGTGTTCAGCGCTATGCCATCAGCATTCAGGGTCAGTGTTCATTTTGTCATTTTTGTTAATGCCATTTTAGTCATTGCCACGGTGTTTTATATATTGGGAATTGTGCCAATTTGTGATTGATCAATTTACTTTGAGTGACCGCAAGTTAAAAGCTAGAAACTGTGATCCTGTTATACTACGCAATAGCAGGTGTTGGCAAGAGTCATACTGATGACTTTAACACCACAGGCATGCAGGCTAAAAGGTTTATATAAGTTTAAAAAGATGAACAGAGAGATCACACTCAGTATGATGAAGTGTGTTCATATCTAACTACTTTGCTACACAATGCATTTGATTTGTTGAATTTTCCCAGTTGGATAGCAAATTTTTCAGTTATTTAAGGTAATGCATCAATGTTTGCCAAACGACATTGTCTACCGAGTACATACCCCCCATGTCAAGAAATAATATATTGATCAATATTTACCCCAAACTCCAAATTAATTAAACTTTGGACATGGCTGATATTGATCTGTTTTGGAATTTATATTTTCACAAATTGTTTAATAGAATTTTACCAGAGACATATAGGGAAATGAATTTATATGTTTTTACATATGTCAGTAGATGTATTATGTAGACATGTCCCAATGCTGTTTTGTATTAAATGCAATTTTATATTAAAAGTGCAACAAAGATCAGTGATGAGTAACACTTTTGCAATTATACTTTTTGCTCAACATTCCATGTCATATCTGTTTTCTGAAAGCTCTGACTTTTTTCATGAAAATGCTCTGGAAAACATTTAGTCTAATTGATATGATTTTTGAAATGATAGCTTTCAACACTTTACACCCACTATTCTTTGTTATACTTTCTGAATAAATGGAATGTGAAATGTTAAGAGGCTGTGTACATTAAAGCAATCGCAAGTGCTGGTCATAAGGTCAATCGGTTAATAATTAACCACTCTTTTTTAAGTCCCGATTGTCAGAGTGCACAAAGGGCAATATTTGAAACTAATTAACATAGATTATTACTAAAAATATTTTTTATAGTTCAATTTTATTTCAACCAATCTCTAAATGTATACATCGCATCAAATTGCCAATGTTAATATATAGACACACATGGCAATGTTAAAGCTACCATTGTAGGACAGCAGGTGACTCTGAAATGTTCTCTGGATTTGAGTGTGTTGGCATGTAGAGTACTAGATAGTACATGTTGTACTTATAAATCTCGAGTAGACAGTACAATGTACTCCTAGAGATAAAAATATGAATATGGTATTTCACAAATCAGCCCATAGAACTGAATCATGACATTACACTATTTACATCAACTTGAAACTGTTTTGTACAGACATTGTAAAATATAAAAATATAAAAAAATAATATTTTCTGTTTTTGATGAAAAATACACTGATAACATTCCTATGTATATTTATCTATTTATTACGAGAATTGAGATATTTGAAGTATGTTTCTCATTCCATACTTTATCAAACTTTATGTAAATGATTACTATGGTAAATGATAACCATGGAGTGCCATCAAAGACTTTCTCTTCATGTTGCCTTGAGGATGTAATCATATTGTAATTGTTGATTGTCTCTGATGTCTCAGGTACTCCTAGGTTGTCATGACAGCTTAACTAACAACCCAAGTTGAGTGACAGAATGGGATGTAAGTAAATGAAGTGTAATGTACAGTTACAACATATTGACGAATTTGGTACCATTGATGCCTGTTTTCGAAATCCACTTGTTAGCCATTGCCCATTTCTAAATAAAAAATGATGTCAATAAGCAAAAATGCAGTTAGCGGATAACTCTTAATATTACTCCGATCGTAATGATAAAGATATCAAATTATTAAAGCTTGTGCATTCTAGAATCAGATATAATAAAATTTATGCAATCAGCTCATTTGCATATTAATTGTGATGTCATAACTTTTCAATGTGACAATATTTTGTTTTTTTAAGATACATTTATATAATATCAAGTATATAGTTATACCATTATTTATGTGTATTGCATTATTTGCCTTGACTTAAGATCTATTTAGATACATTTAAATGGTAAAATATGAAAAACGGCTGTTTCCATAGTAACCAATATTTGCATATTAGCACCATATTTACATAGTTACTATCGCAACAGGCATTTTAGACACATTCGGCCCACTTTTCATTATTACTAAGAAGTGAATCTCAAATCCAGGCACTGTAAACTTCCCAACAGTACCAAATTCATCAATATGTCGTAACTGTACATTAAAAAGTACTTTTGGGCCATCATTCTGACTACTAGTGCCCTAGTGTAAAAAGAACAAATATTTATCTGCTTTTCCAAAAAAAAGATGCTGCGTACTTAAAATTACACACCAGACACACCTTGGATTTCATCCGCCTCATTTCTTGTTTTGCCAGGGCGCTTAGTCTGTACTCTTTATGGTGTCATATCAGAGATATGAAGTGGATGACTGATTTATACCTGCAGCACACTATCTCTGTTCCCTAGTGAATTTGGATTGGTGTGACTCACTTGTGGAGGAATGTTCCAATTTTACTCCCCAATCATATGCATGTATGATGTTGACAAACGTTCCTCTCATGTTTTTGTAAATATTTTATTTACCAAGAATATTGATTTTGAATTAAAAATATTGAAAATTGTATTGTATTGTAACTGGAAATTACCACTCCTTGTCATTATCAATAATAAAAAATACATAAAAGTAATATGACGAAATATATCATGCGTATGTTCCAATAAACTTGTTGAAATATTCTTGAAGAATCAATTAAATTAAAAGGTCCATTGACCTAAACTAGAATGTTGTTACAAATCATGCAAGCTTATCTCTAAAGCAATGCGTGAGGAAGTGCCAAAGTCAATGTCCGCGTATTGTCATATAAACTTCAATAAAAACGTCATTGATTATATAAAGTATAAAACATACGGTATATTGTATTGGTATATTACATGTTAAAAGTACTTTTCTCTTGAATTTTGAAAATTATTGACTAATATTGACGTCATGATTTATATTTTAACTTTATAAACAATTTGTTTAATTTCATTGAAATAGTTACACTCCTTTTATTTTTGTTGTGAATTAAAAACATTTTACAACCATTCCTCATAGAGTTTCATACATCTGCAATGTTTCATTTTATGAATAATTAGGACCAATATTCTAAACTCAGTGAGGGTTGTTTATTGTAAAAATGAACTTTTGCATGTTTAAACTACTTGAAGCATGATGGGCTAAACATAAAATACTTTAGGTTAAAGTGTGAGTCATAATTCACCGAAAATGAACACCAAAAATGATATATGAACTGAATTACTTTTTTAAACTCTCATCTATTTCAAAATCATGAACATCAAAAATGAGCATACAGTACTTTAAAGTGGAGTGATTCACATAAAAATGCTAAAGCCTTGCTGGTGCACATTTAGCCTTGCTGGTGCATATTTAGCCTTGCTTGTGCATATTTCATTAATTTCTATTATAATTATGTCACCATTTAAAGTGGTGACAATGTTAAAGTCTCCAACTTTTTGTGGATAGTGTTCGGCAATTGATGTTCAGTATTCACCAGTTGTTGTTTGGTGTTTGGCATTCAGAATCTGTAACAGATGGCAGGTTGGGACATTTTGCTTGTTAATGCCTTGCATTGTATTTCGCCAGAGTGCAATAAAACTGTAACACACAACCACTAATACCAGATACCAACCCTAAAACTCTTTAGATTTATACTAACAATATAAACAATAAAAACATTGTGAATTTTAAATTCTTCTTTATTAAAAACATCATTGTAAGGTTTACAAACATGTTTACAGTAGATACAATAAGATATTGTTTAACTGGAATGTAGTTACAATGTAAATACAATTTCCTAAGGGAATATAGAAGGCTTAAATCTGGAATGATATTGATTATTGATATTACGTTATTTTATCTATCTATAAGTATTATAAATAAATTCTCCTTCCCGAAAGCAAAATATACATATTTTCAAATATTTACAAAGTCATGAATAATGACCAAAATTTACATAGAAAAATCAACATTTGTTTTGATGAATGACTGCATTTTAAATAACAAATATTTTTCCATTCACTTATTTACAGATTTTCATAAAATATAACATTGTAAGATTCAGCAGTATATAAAACCCCTGATAGTAGAGTTCAGTGCAGCGTCATACAGACTGCATAGAAAAAAATTAAAACACAATTCATTTCTATCAGTATTATGTAAGTCCAACGGAACAATACAGTACAATTACAGTGCAAGGCACACGTGATAAACGTTCAAACACTAACAGGTTAAATATTCAAATAATATGTAATTGTTATACAGCTATATAATAATTTGTGAAATGGTATCTCTAGAGTTTACATTCTGTTTCAGCAGTTTGGCCACCTTTTGTGGGTAACATAATGCATGCATGTATACTTAATATAACAAAAGTACATCTTAGTCGTCGAAACTGGCCTTTTAAATGAGGTCATACAACAGCTTGAAAAGATAAAATACAAAATAAGACTGAGAAAATTGGACTTTGATCCATTTTCAATACATTCTCTTAGTTGTGAAATAAAAATCAGATATGTTAAATTACATTTCATTGCGGTATTTGATTATGTAATTTACAATTATGTCCTATCTAATATGCCTAGAAGTTATGCTCTAATTATTGCTATATAGTGTAATGTGACCTTTTGAGTTCTCTTTGCACAATTCCCATATTACATGTAAGACTATGTATTTTAAAATACAAACAATAAATTGGTAACTATGGTGAATTGTGTGTGAGCCTGTGGTTTTACTGCAGTGGAACTGTCCTTGATCAGGAGATAGAGAATCTTCTTCTGAACAAATGTTTTTTTTGGCAAAATACATATGTCTAATGTCTATACTTTGCCTCTATGTTTATAGTAGAAAACCGTTTTACTTGAATTTCCTTCAGCTTAATAAGGCACCATTTTAGACATTCAGGTTTTCTGGCGTTGCATATCTGCTTGAGCAAATTTGAAGCAGTCCTTCAGTTCAGTATTGTTGTTAAGTATTTTGAGCCATAAATATTAAAAACTTACATGCTTACAAGTCTTGTATGCTATATAAAAGACACAAAGTTTAAAATAGCAAAATACAATAAATACATTGATATGTGTTTGCATTTGGTGACATTTTAAGTTTTTCTACATTAAATATTGGCTCCAGTGTTAATGTGATCTTTAAGTTGATCTAAATACACCCGCCCTCCTGCCCTTATTGAGTTAACTTATAAATAACAAGCTTCAGTTTTTACAAAACTCTTCACAGCAGGCGTTGGCTCAATATATATGTCACTACATTACACTAAGGATGGTTGGCTAGTAGTTGTACAATCCAGTCCTTAATACAAAACACTAATGGCAGACTTAAATTGTAGACATTACACATCAAACGTAACTGTCATGATGTTGTACATGCACAAGATTCCAAAACCAATTCACAAGATTCACATTTCTAGGAAAAATTATATTTTTAAGAATTAGTGAACAATTTCTCATCATGAAACATTTTGAAATGAATTATGTAAAGCTTACTGTCCATTTAAAGTCCCATTCTCCTGTAGCACCATTTGAATATTTGGAACTCTCTATCTTATCCAGATGTTTTTGCATTAGATGCATTACTAGAGCTACATTCTGTGTTCAAAAGGAAATCTGGGCCCATTTTTGTTTTGTTTGGTGAATATCATCGGAATATCAACACTCGCCTTTGCCATCTGATCCAAAACGTGATTGATCTCGTTTTTGTACACAGAATGGCTTCACTACCTAATGGTTTACATCTGGTTCTTACATCAGATGGGCACTCTCTTTGTCTTTCTCCTTGTCTAGTCATGCTTCACTCTCCTTTTCTTCTTTATCATTGCCCGTTAGGCTCATCCCTCCACTATACACACGTTTGTAGTTATCCCAAAGTCCAGCGATGATTTCTGATGTTACGAACTCTGTGCTATTTTTAGCGATCAAACGCAGCAATAAAAATCCATCAGGGCGGAGATAATTATCAACGAATCTAGTGAACAATTGACGGTCATCCTCTTCGTTAAGCCTACCCATCCAGGCGAGATGTTTCTTGATGAAGGACATCCTGGCTCCATGGAAGATCCTGGTGAGCCAAGAGAGGAAGTTGATGCAGGTTACTGTTGCGACAAAGACGTACCAGAACCAAATGAAGACGTAGATCTTCTCGTTGAAGAGGTTGATCGGAAGCACACATTGTAAAGTATGACGCTGGACGTTTCCTGGATAACAATAACAACATAACCATGAATATAACCATTCAATGTGAATACACATTTCTCAATCCTTAATCTCGTTATATCTTATTTTGATTTTTGTCCACATACCACCCATAACCATTAACACACATGTTTATTTACATACAACGATTGCAAAGTACTTAGATATTGGTGAAAACAAAAAACTGTCTGAATGAACGTGTGAAAGAAAAGTATCAAATTTTCTTACCTAAGACTCTCATCTTAAAGCTGCAGAGTGTTATCCTGGGGAACACTGGTGATGCAGTCCAGTCATTGCCAGCTGCTAAATCTCTCAGCACATCAAACCCATACAGATGGTACTTCGTTCCCAAGAAAGCGTTCAACATGAACAACTGTCCAATTACGTTTATTATGTAGAGAACCTTACAACACATGTAGAGAACCAACAAGAAATTTCCAGCACGTTTGCCGACGCATACACAGCACATCTTTGTTGCCATAAATTGTCGTGCCGCATTTAGTCTACCTTTCCGATGTTCTTTTTGGCGTTCCAAGTAAGCGTCTATGTGTCTGACTAAATGTTTCATCGTTTTCTCCCGACCCTCAGGAACAACTTGGGCTACTGTGTTTGAGGCTACGATGATGTTGTGTATATTGATACCGGTCTTATCGTTGAAGATGTGCCAGATACCACTGGGAATGTAGAACAACAAGGCTTGGATCATGAGAAACAACGGAACCCACTGATAATAGGTCACGTCAAAGTCTCTAGGTTCACCCTCCCTCGGTACCACCTCGTGCATCGGGTGATAGTACGTGTTTTTGATCCAGCAATAGTCGTCCGTATACTGGACCATCTGTCCCGTGAAATGAGCTGGGGTCCAGCATGTCATAGGATCTCCTGGAACACACAGAGACAGTGATTACAAATGCAGTCAATGAAATTGTTGAGGAACGACCGTCAATGCATCGCTTAAATATTTTCCTTATACGTTTAGGTTGTGAAAAACATTGCAAGCTTAAACTCCCTATTGATATATGGAACGTGTGGATAGTGGTATATATTTAAGGAATAAATAATGATAGGCCATTCAATATGGTGAAATTCAGCACGAGTTGGACAGAATGTCGTACAAAGCACGAACCGAAGGTGAGTGCATTTGTACTGACATTCTGTCCAACGAGTGCTGAATTTCACCATATTGAATGGCCTATCATTATTTATTCCGATTCAAACATATAAAAAATGAAAACATTGTTCAGAGAATTGGGGATTGGAGCTACATGAGATACACCAAACTCCATCCTCCGATCACAGGGCTTCAAAATCCAGAATATCTTCTCCTGTACACCTGCTTCGGAGGATGACCAAACTCGAGCTCGCTGTTATTTTCGCCATTCCCAGGTGTGACGTCACAATGCAAATACAATACGTAGATTCCCGGATGATTGGATAGAGCACGGTCGTGCATCTATGGAGAATTAGAGAACGTTCTATATTGGCTATGCTGCATTCTGATTGGTTGAGAAATTCAATTAGAGCACGGTCATGTTTGAATAAATAATAGACACTCCATATAATATTGGAGAAGGCAGCAATCATGAACTGGAACCAATTGTAATGAAAATCACCACTGAAACTGATTGCATACAATCTCACAATTGACATCAACATCGTGTTCCAAACAAAGCGCAAGGACACCACAAAAGTCATGATGAACTTTTGTCAATGACGTTTGAGGTTTTGAGGCATCAATGAGGGTCCAGTCACCAAGCTTCACTATTTGAATAACCTGGTAACTTAGTGCATGCTCTCATTTGAAATATTATCACCTATAGCAACGTAGGGTTTGTTTATGGATGAAGTTGCAGCAGGGATCAGTGACTTCTTGTTTGATCAAAGGCGTGATCCAAATCTAACTACAAACATACCAGGGCCAATCTCATCATTCTTTATTTGAAATGGATGCGGATAAATCTTAAATCGATATTTGCTTTAACTTAAGGAATAAATAATGATAGGCCATTCAATATGGTGAAATTCAGCACGAGTTGGACAGAATGTTGTACAAAGCACGAACCGAAGGTGAGTGCATTTGTACTAACATTCTGTCCAACGAGTGCTGAATTTCACCATATTGAATGGCCTATCATTATTTATTCCGATTCAAACATAAAAATTAGTAAAAGCCGTGTCTGTGGAACGGGCATGAAGGAAGAATACGCATGCTGTCAAGATTCTGAAGTCGGCCGGAAAAATTTTAGAATTTGTTTGGGCTGTTCTATTTTACTCCCCGTTTTAGATTTTATACGGTGTATGCAAACAGTAGTTAAATAGTTACAGTAGTTACGGAGGGAGTAAAAAAGAACAGCTATCCCCGGACAGAGCCCCAGATGTGCAGCTGAGATGTGACGTCACACAAAACAATGCAAATTGCAGATTGAATAGAGCATGGTCGTGCATCTATGGAGAATTAGAGAACGTTCTATATTGGCTATGCTGCATTCTGATTGGTTGAGAAATTCGAATAGAGCACGGTCATGTTTGAATTGCTTTTTAATATTTTACGTTAATTCTTGACAAGCGCTACTGCGACATTTGGAACATTGTCAAGACATTAGAGTTATAAATGGATTGTTGGATCTTAGTGGCCTAAAAATGCGACGTCATGTACAGACATATCAAAAAGTTGTATCTTGGTTAACTCACGGATCAACGTAGATATGTCTGGGTGTATCGTATCACACTCCACATAGTTTACAACACACTTATGAATTGTGAACCCTTCAAAATGAACCACAGCCAGCGTATCTCAACCACGTATGCAAATAAATAACTGGAATTATGATCATTGATGACATAAAAATCAATTAACTCTGAAATATTTTGACTTTATGGCTATTATGAAACAACTTATTTTTCTCAAGTTGTCAATTTGCAATTTTAGAATTACGATCTTTATCACCGTTGACGAGCTGATTATTTTTTTTAATTGTTCGAGTGCAAATATTGGAGTTCAAGGTTCAAAAATATATTGTTTCGAATGTGATGAAATAAAATCTACAATGTCCCTTATATTTACCATGTGTAGCTTTATAGCTTACGCAAACGTGTCCTGGCCCTATATATTTAAAGGTGTGACTTTGGGAGAAGGGTATAAATTTTGTTCCAAAGATAAGAGCAACGTATTTACAGAATTGACGAGATAAAATTCAATTTTGATTGAAGTTGCTTTCCCATGAAGCTGAGAGTAGTTGATTGTTTATCATATTAGATAACGTAAATTCAATACCAATCATTCATCTTTGATATTGCGATATTGAGTTTCCCATGGATTTCAAGTGCGCTATGACGGTACCACTTCTAGTGAAATGACTAAGGTATGTTGAAATCGAGATTTCGATACGAAGGTGTTCAAAATATTCTAATCCTCCGATAAGATATCTTTGGTCTTACACGGTTTGTCTTCTCCGACAAAAGTAATTTCAAGTTATCTATTTATAACTAATATTTGACATTAATACAACTGATACTTTTGTGGCCATCAAAGTAAACGCGATAGGGTTGCTACAATGATTTTCAGAGAGCGTTCGATCCGTTGAGAGGGTATACTCAGATGCTTCGATATTGGTATCAAAGAACTGTCTTAATTAATAAAATAAAGGACTAAGTAACAATAAAATGATAAAGTATAATAGATAAAGTAAGGTCACGAGAAGTGTCATTGGTTAGCCACTTGAAGTAAGGTACAAATATACATATACATGAGTGTAAAACAAGCCAGATTCATATTTTTATGAGTACAATTGAAACTAGAGTTCGTAATGTCAGTAGAGATGCTGAGCTCGATTGCCGTATGGTATTTCATTTGACGTACCACACGGCAGTTGCCGTATAGTGTTTCAATTTCATGATATTCCATCCTAAGTACCATACGGCAGTTGCCGTATAATGCTTCAATTGTATACATACTACTTCCTTTACCTTTTATCGCCCAAAGAGAGCAGACAATATTATTAAAATGTCACAAACAAAGAAGAGACCTTCAACTGGACCACAAGCGTAAGTACTGTACTTTGAAAAATACTACATTCGATGTATGTGCCTGATATTTTGCCACGCGTATTCATCAGATTCATTCCAAAATTCGTGCTTAGTGCTAGTTTTAGTGTTTCAAATTCCTGACATCTAAAATTGTAACTGACGAAGGAAATTAATTAAATAACTGATAGATTTATAGACAATTGCATTGTCCAAGCTAAGTTTACCGTAAAATTTTCCATGTGCATGGCTGCATGCTCAAACCGGAAAGCACATTGCATAATTCAAATATAAAATACGATACGATCTTATTCGAATTAATATTCAGATATTCAACTCAATATCTACATGTACATAGATGATCAATGATCCCTTGACCGCTTACACTATATGTATATTGAACAGCTGACAGTCTGACACTAACTTGTCACAGGGCAAGATGACCTCTAACATGCCAATATATTAAACTGATTTGCCCTTGCATTTAAAACAGGGATTTAAAATGACCGTCCTCCCTTGACTTTCTGTCACTTCGCCGTTATTATACACATTGATGAAACATCCACTTACAAATGCAAAGTAAACTTTGTGTTTTATTATCCGATTCAAGATCTAAGATATTCTAATTCGTAAATTGCAACTGAATTAAAAGTAGAATTTCTGTTGAAATGCGTATGATCCGGGGACGATTATCAATTACGCTTTTCAGACGGGACTTCCCCATATCGCTTCACCGAAGGTTTCGGTTATTCCTACTTCTATGTATCCGACATTCATACTTTTAATTTAATTCTTTTGATTTAGAAATAAAAACTGGAAACACCACAGGGGGCCAATTTCTCATGAATATGAGCCCGAGCCTAGGAAACGGGCCCAGGCGAAGAAAGATAGGCTCACTGGACTGATCAAACGAGCAGACCAGTTGTGCACTAAGACCAGAGGCTCGATATTTCTGAGGTACGTTGATGAGGCGGGGAATGCCTTTGTGTATTCTCAAGACGAAGACACATTTGTGAAATACCAGGAGGAGGGGATACATCCAGAAGTAGGGGGGGATGAACGGAGATACAACAACAAGGGGGCAGCTACCCACATACTTAGTGAGAAGACGAAGAAAGCTATCGTTCAAGAGCAGGTATCAAATTTGATATGGATAATAATTAAGAGTATTAGATCTGATATAATAAATTGAAAAATAAGAATAAACAATATTTTGTTTTTACCCATGTTTGTTTTTGATTGCAGTTATTTAACCATGAACCATGTCTGCATGTTGATCATTAAAAAAACCAAAGCGATTGTATTATTCCTGTATGCTGCATGGCAGTTCGCATAACTATTAAAATACTAGTATTCATGATCATATATATCTGTATATATACCTTTTCATCCAGGAAAAGAAAGAGGATCAGGAATCAATCATGTCGCCAGAGGTGCCTCGCCAGTCCGCCGCCGTGTTGATGGAAGCAGAGACATATGCCAGCTTAAAAGAAGCAGGCCTGGCAGTTGAGACACTACCACCAGCACAACCTGTAGCAGCGACGATGGATAGGAACATTTTTTCGACTATTAACTTGAATGACATTACACAACTTTAACTCATAGTTACGCCTATACACTGAATTTATGTTACTGTACAGGCTATAATTTATTACTTTATCAATATTCAGTGCAATTCAATACATATATTTTTAATTGTTTATTTATTCAATTTAATGAGCTCTTTTGATTAATTTTAATATTGAGTATTTTTACTGAAAAGTATTCATGGATTAATGACTTTGGTCTCAATTCAAATTGTTTTAACACAGATTTTTATATATAACAAAGCGTTGTTTTTTCTCTTATACACATTGTTTTAATACATGTTATGTCGTATCCTGCGTATAGGCTACGTATGAACTGTCATTTAACTTGGTATATTTATTCATATGTATACATACATATTTCGTATAATCGTTTAAAACTATTATATCATTGTTTACAAACACATAGAATTGCCTCTATGTCATGTTGTTATTGTAAAAGTCATTGTCATATATTTCCTGTAAATGTCAGTACATGTATGCACGCTCAGGTATTATATTACTGAAATATTAGTAAATGTTACACTTCATCTTTGACTTCTTGTTCCAGTATAAAATCGTTAGCTACCGCTTTCACGAGTTTATAATCCTCTATATCTTTGTACAATGATATCAATATTGTCTTTGATTCTTTTGCGTTTTTATTCGATGACACTATATCCTGTAACTGTGTAGCAAAGCTTAGAATAAGTTCATCCTCATCGTCACTTGACAGTTCGTTAATTTGCTGTTGGATGAGGTAAGTTAATGATTTGATTGATCGTTTTTCTAATGCAAAGTACTCCGACCTTTCTGTAGTGGTTACAAAAATCGGTTCCTCTTTAAAGTTCACATTTTTAACCTCATTAGTGTTGTGATCAACTACATTTTGAACAAAGTTTTGTCTCATCTTTTTAGCCTTTTCATTGAAATGTATAAGCTCTTTATCTAACTCGATAGAACATGTTACATCGGTGTGTTTTTTCTCATCAGATGGGAATAAGTATGCCTGTTCCCTAAATAATGATCGTACTTCATTTATATCATCTTCAGACTCTGATGCATGAGATTCTACTCGCTGCTTTGCAGGGTCGATTGTTCCACTTTCTCTGAAAACAGTATTGCGTATATTTTCCAAATTGTCGAAGTTGGCACAAACATTGCTCCAACTTTCGTTGCTTGGCCTCGGTGGCTGGAAATACTGTGCTTTCTTATTGATCGCCTCCAATTTAAAATCGGCCCCCTCATTCGAATTTGGAACCCCGCTAATATTAATAGAGTTGCATTTCTCGAGAAACATTTTAATAGGTTCGGGAGCTTTTTCATACAGCATATAATCGTTCACTTCCAGTTCCCGATAGATTGGATGGTGTCTTGCTACAAAAAGTTTTGAAAATAGCGATCTCGCTGCCAACATTTTTTGGAAATCGCTCGATCGAACGCCTTCTCTGTAGAGTAATATGGAATTCATCAATGGGACTACCGTATTTCCCATGAATTTAAAGTTGGGGTCGTCCGACTTTTCTATCATTTCTATGAAATGTTTATAACTAAGTTCTTGTGAGTTGGCCATGTCATGTTGTGTTCTTACGTAGACTACCAGCAATTCATCGATGACTGCAGCATATGTTAGCTGCAGCATTTCCCACCCTTTGTGGTGATCGCTGACTTTCTTAGCATATGATAATGCGTGTTCGCTTTTAAAATTAAATATTTTGGCAATCTCCTTCCAGAAAATGTCCCAGGTAAGTGAAACTAAAGATTTTAGCATGTTCATCTCTATATGGCCAGGTCCAGGAATTAATAGCAACCACTTAAATTCTATGGACATGTCTGATTCTTGACGTTGTACTATTTCAGAACATGTGTGACTGTTAACACTTGATTTCCCCCGAAAAACACCACCACAGTAACCACACCTATATGTGCACGATTGCAACTTGTTGCACATACTATAGGGCATCCCGTCGCAACATACAGCAACCCACTCGCGAGCAGTACCTCCATATTGTTTGACACCCGCTTTTGTACCAATGTCAATGAGAACGTTTTGACAGTTTTCATATGAATTTGGGTTCGCGAAATATGGACGGAAAACATGAACATCATTTACGTATACAGTATTAATTTTCCTAGGATTTTCAATCTCAACAATACTTTTCCCCGTACATAATTTTTTTACGGACATCCTTTTTTCACATTTCATTGAATCGTTCTCTCTGGTTCTTTTTGGTGTGTGGTTATTTTTTGTTTCACAAGCGCCTTTATCACTTTTATCCTTTGCGTTGTTAAAGTCATTTTGACGTGTAATTTTTTGTTTACATTGTGGACATACACGTTTTGACTTTGGGATAGCCTCCAAACCACATTTGTTGCATGGATCGTGAAATATTTTATTGTACTTATTTTCAACTATGGTATCATCTATTAAATCTGTCATTTTGCCGTTTCGAATTTTTTGTTCACTGATGATTTTTTTTAATCGTTTCTCTACGAAGCCTTTTATTGATTTGTTTTGTATTGAAGCAAAGGCTGGATTTTCGTCTGGATTTTTTATTTCTTGAATCTTATCATCAGTCAACGGCTTGTTTTTCCATTGATTTGGTGAAAACATTGGTTTATTTTGTAGGGGTTCATTTTCAATCGTGAAGGAAACAATCATGGTCACTACACTAGCGTTGAATTTTTTCTTTGTGCTAATTGACCAGGTCTTTTTAAGTACCTGGTTATTATCGAATGCCATTAGTATACTAGTATCATTCCCTTGGGTTTGTTGGTCCACTATCTCTATTGTATTTTGCCCAAGATTTGTGAGCCATTTTCTTACTCTATCATAGGAGGCGTATGGGCCTGTTCTGTTAAGAACGGTAAGTGCAATTTTGCTGCCCGTTAAACTGTATAAAAGTACCGACTCTCTAAAATGGATTGGGAGAACACTGTTCAAATAGGTAAGGTTTAGGATGGACTCCACAGTTTTGCACATTTTGTACGCCATGTTTCTATCTTGGTCTGGATCTGAGAAATACAAGGGTCAGTATCAAGATACACTGAAAACCATTTACGTATCTTTCCAATTGCCGATAGAAATCATCTTCGTTCACTCGGCTCCCGTCGGTCGAACGCAGTAAAGACCGAGCGTGCGAAAATGGATAGGAATTATTTGAAACTTTTTCATTTTCATCGATTCAAACCTAGGATTCTTCATCCTAGATTTAAACCCACTTTTGCATTACTGGTGTAGTCATATTATGGAGATGGCGATTAATGGCGGAATTTTATGAACGTCGTATAATGACCCGAATATCAACTCAAAGCTCTATTGAAATCTGGTTAACTGCAATAGAAAGAAAAATTTGAATTCGTTTATTCCGTTTCACCATTTTGGAAGATCTGGTAGGCCTATAAACACTGTCATTAGAAAAGTATGTTGCACTAAAATGCACAAACTGAACATGGAACATTATAAACATTCCTTGTTAAATTATTTTGCGCGGACATTTGACGCGTGATAAAGCATTTTGAAATACCTAAAAATAATTCGCGCACGAGTTTTTAGTTGTTTTTCACGTTTTCTATTCACATAAAAATCGTTACATATGTTTTGCGGGATATGCTTTATATAACGTAAAACAAGCGTATGTAGAGCAAACATGAAGTAGTAACTACTTGAAGTACAAGCATCATGCTGATTTAAAACGTGTATTCTAGGGTTTCTAATGCATCTGGATACTGACCAGGGACATTGCTTGATTTAAACGTATAGTCCATTGGAACACCAGATATGCTTAAAAGCAATGTTGCAAGTAGTTTTGGGCATGACGTGAAATAATCTGCATTGCTCAGGCGTAATTTTTCAAAATCCAAATCAATGTTTGAGTTGTTAGAATATGTTTTTATTTCCTGTTTAATAATTTTCCCCAGTGCATAGATTAGGTTCTTTAAATATGACGATGGCAACGTCTCCATTTGGTTCGACAAGTCTTGGTGATTATCTCCAAGATCAAGAATAGTATTTGTTGTTTGTATAGATATATCATTGTCTTTTTTCCCTCCAGAATTGTAACTATGATCGTGATTAACATGTGATAGGTTTTGTTTTCTTGCGGGTGCGTTTCCACCGTTTTCTAATTCAACGTTTTTGATGCAGGATTTACAAAATGAAAGGGGCTTTAGTTTGTGCCTTTTTCGAAAACTAAAAAAGTCTATTTGGGCAAGTTCACACAGACGGTCTCTGGTTGAAGCCTTTATATATTTTGAGTCAATCAGTTGGTGCATTTGTTCATTATTCTCGCCATGAATATTTTGGGATGCACAACGTTGTTTTGTCTTGAACCGCCCCATCGTCTAGAAAGAAACTTAGTAAATTAGTTTTTTTAGAAAGACAACATTAAGTTCACACTAATAGGGGAGCCAGGGGCAAGATAGTACCTTAGTGTTCTCCATATACAATTACGTAATAGCTTATTCATTACTGCAATTTAAAGTTTAAAAATCAGACCATGTAGTCATTTAAATTGACACCACCCCGAACAAAGTCTCAAATGCAATAAGGGAAACTGGGGGAAAATGGTCCCGTTGCATTTGTTTCCCAATTGTAACAACCTAATCATTAATTCATTGTCTACAATAGAATAGAGTCTTCTTTCGAATCACCTTCCAACTTGGCACCTACACGACTTACTCGGAGCAAGAATAGTTTCAAAACTGGATCAAGACTACTAAATCACTAAAGGCCATCTTATCCCAGGTTCCCTTATGAACCAGGCGGCATATTTATTTTAAAAATATTTATTGAACTAGACTAAAGGACCATTGGACTTCACGTTGCCCCTAGCTCCACGCACGCAAGGTAAGTTAAGATAAGGAATATGTTAACGTACAGCTGCATACAAATCACGTCGTCAATTTACGGTAAAGTCCTTCATTAAAGTTCATAAGACTATAGCGTGAATTCCCAATGATAGAATTTTAATTCCCTCGAGGGAAATACATTTAAAACAATCTTCTTTCTTATAGAGAAATAAAATAGCTTCCATACTTATTTTTGATATTTCCAAAGAATGATTAAAAATTACTGGATATTATTTTCCTCGATTTTTATAGTATTTCAGAAGTGATCCGTGTACTTTTGACTTGGGTATTTTATTTTCAAAAGGCTATTCATTTACTTACTATTTTAAGCACGCTAAACAAGCTTAGCTAATTGTATAGCAAGTTAAAGATCTAAACATACAAATATACATACGTACCTTAAAAAATGGAACAAACTCAAGATATACGTCTTTACGCCCGAGCTTTATTTTGAAAAATAACGGTTTTATACAATTTAAGTATGATACGGCAATCGCCGTATGGTGCCTAAAATGAAGTATTATACGGCAATCGAGCTCAGCATCTCTACTGAATGTAAATATTTTATATTTGGATTTTTGCAATTTGTTTTGATATTATGCTATTTCATGAAACCATTAAGGCAATTTGTAACAATACTTAAAATATTTTAGTAAAATTAAAGTAACGGAGAAGTGATACGTCCAGAGTCCAGAGTATGGTCACAAGTTATATATCACGATAAAGGACGCCATTCTTTGTCCACAGCCATTAATAAACAATGTCCATTTCACATTACAAGACTATCCCCAGACCAATCCATTGTTCCATATTTCAAAACTGTCACATTTTATTCTGCACGCATTTTTGTTTATTGAAATACCAGACAACCAGCCAGTTTGAACTCAAAAGTCACGTTCATCATCAATTTGACGTTGTGGGCGCGTTTAATGTAAGTCTATCACAGTATGTCTTATAGAATGACCAGACTGCAGTTGCAATACCAGTCGTTTATTGGGGCTACAGATCACAACTTTTGTCCCGATGTATGTATTGAATTTGAACCTGATAATCGTGGTCATAGAATTCCAGAAACAATGAACATTCTGGATTGTTCATTAAATTTACAACGATTCAATTCTACATGGCGTTCTACAAGGATCAATTTAGATCTGCTGTTATTCAGAAGAGCTACATGTTATATAACTTTTAACTTTTTAACTGTCGATCAATTAACAGCACTGTTCAGGCCCAAGGAGTATAAGATAAAACTGGAGTAGTAAATTAGTATTGCTTAATTATACACACATTTGAACCTCAATAAATTAGGTCATTAAGTTGAAATTAATGAACTTAAACTGAATTAGGAACGTTATAGCAGATTCACAGTATACGATGACCTAGGAGTCTGGTCGTTAATGTAGTAAAGTTACAACGATGACGCTAAACTTGACAGTTAAAAAATACTCGTGCCGCTTAAGGGCAACATTAATGTACACAGGACTTTCGACGAAACATCCATATCCTCATAACTAACTGTTAAGATACAACCACATTCATCTGACATTGTAAATATATGCATTTTAAATGTGTTTTTTGTTAATTCAGGTTGTGGGTGTTTTATTTTTTGAATTTTACTAATGTTGCTGCAATCTATGCTTAGCACTTACGAACGAGTTGATATTTCAAAGATTTGTACCACAAGAGAGTAATTTAGACCAAAACAAGAATTCAACTTGACTTTTAGCTCTTATTTAAATCATTTGCTTGAACATCTTCTATTCAACAAACTAAACCAACTGAAAAAAGTAATATCAAAATTACAAGTAAAAGTCACCCTCAAAAAACTATTTTGCATAAATATAGATAAAAGAAATATGGATATCTATCCTTTTTTATGAAACTTTATCGCAGAAAGTAAACAAATCATATCAAAATAACTACTGAACAAACTGCAACAAGTCACCCCAAGAAGAAAACAGGATCGAATCGAATGACAGATAGCCAGATCATAAAAACGCCTAAAGGTATCATACTACCAAAGTTATATCTTATATCTTATAAATATATGTCCATGAGATATAATTTCAAATGATAAATTGATCGTGTCAACAACACGAATATGGTGTCTTATTCGACTCTAAAAACGCTTTCTAAATAAGATTTTAAGTAAATATCAACATACCTATGTTTTAATTCTTTTTAAGACTCATTTTAGTTTGATAAAATGTCTGTTTTTAACCAACATGGCATTGTGGATATTTTTCGATTAGATGCACCTTAATGTAAGAGTGCCACTGTTAAAAAAGTGTATATCTAAATAAATAAATAAACACACACACCTCTAAGGACGCAACATAAGGTACATGATCGTCAATCTAAGCACACAAACGAAGAAAAATAACACGAAACCTATGTAAGCCCCAAAAACGAATCTGAGATAATTATAAGCTTCATTTAACGTCATTGCTATGATTGAAATTACATTTCGTGTAAGTACTTATTATTGATTCTTCCTTTTAAACATTTTTTGCTCATTGCCCAATTTTGTCTGGCCGACGTCTCATAATTATACACTAAAGTAATCTTATTCAAAAGTGTTTTCTATAGCTCAATTAAAGTAAACTCATGACAACTTGTGAGAAATGTTTCTATGTTAAATTTCAATATATACTAAATTGAACTTTGGTCGATCGCGAAATTTATTAACAATATGTATGTATCCTTTCTTACCGACATAACTAGATGTTGAGACTAATAAAGCGAAAACTGCTAAAACAGCGACTGTGTATCTATGATTGATTCTATCAACCGCATCATCGTGAAGTTTGGCGTCTAATTTTCCAACTGAGCCAATGGCTCCAATGAACCGTTCCATGGTCCTTACTCTAAGAGAGTCCTATACAATGAATGTGTCCACAGTCCTATCATATAATTTTAACTTTGCACTTGAACACTAAAGCTTATCAGTTTTACAACTGATCAGAAAGTAGAAACGAGTCTGGTATCTATTGTCTGGAGTACGTTAGGGTTGTATCTAGCGTCCTTTGTTATCACTGGGTGACTGGTCACCTTCTATTCTAGTATTGGTGATAATAAAATAACTGAAGTAATATATCTTCAACTGTCAGTGGCATTTATGGATTGTGGTATACTTGTCATTGTTCTAATCTTTCTTTGAAATGATATCAGGGCGACGTGATCTTATAAACGTAAAACGTAAAAAAGGATGTTCTAGTAAACTCGGAAGTCAAAAGTACACTTTTCAATGGGATAGGTAAATAAAAAAGTTTTTCTTTGAATATATAAACAAAGGCACGTCGTGTTGCTTACTTGTACCTATTATCTCATGTATCTGCTATTTCCGATTGGATGATATTTCTTCATATCATAAGTGATAAATATTTCGCAACCAATGAATCGTCGATTGACAACTTGAATCAAAAGTCAATAACACCGAAATACGTAATTTACCTTTAAACAATATTTTCCTGTACTTAAAACGTGTTTGTAGCCACAGCCCAAAACAAATTAAATATTTACTTTTTAGTATTGAAGTACCCAATAACATATTTTATAGAGATTATTTCCGATATTTGACACCAGGTATTAAACCAGTTAAAACGTTACGCTCAAAATGGTCTCTTTCGTGCGTTATCTCCATAGGGATATTATCACTGAACGCATGTTATATAATAACAGCTTTAAGTCATGTTTTCATTTTAAAAAAGAAACATGTTAGCAGTGTCAGCGATTGGACACGTTCGTGATTGTACCTTGGATATAAATAACGAGTATGAAAAACCCCAAGTTTGAATCTTTAGACAAACACTTAATTTTTGCATACCTTTGCATTTATAAATAACATTTTATCGGCTATAAAAAGCATATAAACGCGTCCTACATTTTATTTTAGTGAAATAATCAGACCCAAGACATTTTGCAGTAATACCTAAAAACGTGATAAGAACATATATTTCAAAATAATCATCTATATATAACATATATGATGACGTGCACCTGTCACTGCTTGTACTAACTTACCGACATAACTAGATGTTGAAACAAGTAGAGCGAAAACTGCTAAAACAGCAACTGTGTATCTATGGTTAAGTTTATCAACGGAGTCGTCATAGAATTTAGCATCAAGTTTTCCAATGGAACCAACTGCTCCTATAAACTGTTCCATAGTGCTGTCTCTAAGAATGTCCAATGCACTGTGGTCAGAATTCAAGAGAACATGAAGGACTGAAGGCCTTACTCTAATTTATCACCAGTGCACTTAAATCTTGAACTTCAACCTTATCTATTTACAATATATCTTATGTCATCTAATAAAGAAATCACTCCTATCTAACGCTTTCATATTGTCTTATCTTTCTATGGGGGAGTAATACACATGTAACTGGCATCAGCAACTGATTCACAAACTGACCATTCAAAGTGATTCTCACTTACTTGTCTTTTGGTTGAAAATATACAGAATGCGAAATGAAATGCCCCGAGAATCATTATTGATCCAAAGAAATGGGCCACAATGTCAAAGTGATATTCTACCATCGTAAAAAAAGTACTGGCTGACGTGACATTTTAAACAGACTGTCTATCTCTTACTGTGTCACTGCTGTACCCAGAAATTGGGGAATTGTACCCTGAAAAGCGCTACTTCTACAATAATTTTAATGTACCCCAGACTCATATTAGTTTGGGTACATTTAATCTAATCCACTTTTATATTGTAAAGTTACACATTTGATCTCAACTAGAAAATGGTGTAACGGATGATGTGATAGCAAATGATAAGACAGGACATGGAGATCCTTTCACGATTGATGAACAACTATTAATGTAAAGATGCCTATCTGAAAAGGTTTTAACATTAAATATGCCCTACGATTTCAGTGATTTTACATCTCGTGTTTCATATATTTCACAAACATTCTCAAGACGAACTGGATGACCCCACCCATGCTACAAAGGACGCTATGTTTCCCATTCCTGTCTCTGGGCTCAATAGATTCACGGGTCAATAATCAGACAGTCTAAGGAATCAAAAAGTCTATATTTATGAAAAGAAATGTGGTTTCAAGATTCCGACTCGCACATTTATATAGACAGGCCTTTTGTAATGTAAGATTACTGAGAAAAAGGACTAATTTGTGGTGAGTCACATGATGTACTTATTGACAACATAAACTGATGTTTAGATGACAATGCAGTTGTGGCCAATGTGTAGTCATTGGGACCAATTTAGATTGTTCAAGACTTAAAAGAAGAACTTTTGATATGTCTGGTTAGAAAAAGTAAATACTGGCTAAGTGCTTATTAAACATTTGACACGAAACGTAAACTGCATGCGCAAACCGGCCATATTAAAAAAGTTCTACCACTTACACCCGAAATTAAAATAAAGTTGCAAAAGACATTGTTTATAAGGAGTCTTACCCACATACTGGCCTGTACCCACAACCAGCGCATACACAGCAAGCAACCCGACACTGTAACGAGAATTCATTCGGTCTGACCCATCGCAATCTCTATGAGGAGCGAGTTTATTAACTGCTCTAAACGCAGAAAAAAACTTCTCCATGATTTCCCTTTGAGCTTGTTATTCAATATTCAATACAAATAAGTTTTAATTCCAATAATCGTAGCTTGTTTCGCAAGTTCCGAGGTGGTTGCGTCAATACGTGAGATGTGACTCCAGTTTTTTAAATTTTAAAAGTCCTTGGTAAACGTGATGTTGTAACTCGTTTGGCGTCAGTAACTTTCAAAGAGATTTACTTCATACATCATGTTTTATTTTATTTCTTGTGATACCTGGTAACATTACAATAAACCACATTTTTAACGCGTCATATCAAACAAATGTGTCGAAGTTGTTTTGGTACCAATCATAAATAATTTGTTACATTTGTATCCAAAAGAGTAATTTTGATCGAGTTAACAAAGTCACCTATGCATACAGTGAATAATTAAACTAGATAATTAATGTGCAATCTTCACTTATTCGTCGTCACAAATTATATGATTAAATTTTATGGATTATACCCAACAGTTTTTAAAGGTTCAGCCTCATTAATAGTTTTTTAACTCACCGACATATTGGTTGGTGCCAACAAGAAGCGCAAAGATGGCCACCAAACCCAGGCTATAGCGAGAATTGAGCCGATCACACCCGTCAACATCGTACTGCGGAGAGAGCTTACTAGCAGCCCCAAACGCAGAAAAGAACTGATCCATCTTGATTCACGCTTATGTTTTTTAAAAGTCTCGATTATAGTGTTACACTCCTATCCTGTTTGAATCGTTGTCGAGGTTGGCGAAAGGCCTACTCCCGAAGCGTACTGGTGATGTTAAAAAAGTGGAAGTCCAGGTTCAAAACGGGTCATCTCAATATTGAAGCAAGGGTTAGTCAAGTGGATCTGATCGACATCACCTTATTCACATGTCCCAATGGCAAATGAATGTACTACATGCAATTATACCTGACTACCACGCATCTGTAAAGAATTCCTAAATGTATCCATAGAAACCTTTACAAACTCACTGACGCCAAACGAATAAAGTACGTGTTTTCTCAAAGATTAGTTTGTCAAGTGAAATGAATGCTGGTGAAGGGCAAACGGGAATATGCTTTCAAATACATACAAATAAATTCTGATTTCGCCCATTTATAATTACTGCCTATCCCTCTTTAGCTTTGGGGTTTATTGTTATTACAAAATGTTACATCAACGGACACATAACTGCTCTAATCAGTGAATGTAAAAAGTGGATCATGCAAGATAAATACTTTGAGCCATCATCTGTTCATTTTGCCTTTTTGAAATATAGCTTTAATTTTCAGATTTTAAAATTTTCAATGGAATTTGCTGACTACTTATCTTCAACTGAAGGTGTTGTTTACATAATCTATTTTATTACGTATCTATCTAGTGTCCTTATTTCAAACCAGATTTAGAAAATGATTTTTTAATTTGTACCATTTCTATACTTTGATTTGTACAAACTGAAACTAAGTATATATTTTAGTTCCTGAAAAAAATTATAGAATTAATCGAAATATTGCAAACTTAAACCATTTTGTTATAAAAACAACTACTTTTAGATTTGTACATATGAAACTTCGAAATATTCGTCAGAAGAAAAAAACACTCGTTTTTGTTTGGTCCAATATATCAATCATACATTTGCCTTATTTAGGGTAAAACAATACAGACATGCATATTGTGATTCAAACTTGAAGTAGGTTTTTAGTTCTTCAAACAAAGGTGCTCAATATATTCTTCAGAACATGACAGGTTACTTGTTCTTTAATACAGACTTAGAATGTTGTAACAGATATATTTCACAATATATAGTGTTAAAACGACAGCCTGTCCCAAAAACCTCTACCCTCCTGATTCTGCGTCTCTAAAAGAGAGCGTCATCTTCACTCTTTCAAGGAAGAAGAAACAATTCTCTGATCTAGCCTCACCCAAATCGGGTTTTTGTCAAGCAAGAACGCCCATTCAAAATAGCTGTCATCGTCTCTTCAGCCTGCCTCTTCTACCTTTATTTGTAGGTAGTCTTGCCCCAAGAGTGTACCCCCGTACCTTTGGAATTTGAAGAACACAGAGGGGAGGGGTAAAAAGTCTTAAGGCAAGATTAAGACGCTGGCAATTATTTCTTTATATTTATAACTCTATGTCTTTTAGTCAGAGGGTTATGATTACTAATAGCCACTGTGCTTCGGGGTTTTTAACATGGACTTATAAAAAGTAAGACATGGAGAAAGGTGAATTTGTCTCCGGAGTCTAGCTGTATTTTACACCAGTGTTCCGCTAGCGGATCTGGGGTGGATGGGCTCAGAAAAATGTTGGGCCCCACAAAATTGTAAGGCCCCAATTATGGGCCTTTTAGGGCATCAGTGGGCCCCTCAGGCCTTATTATTTATATTTTAGGTCACATTATAAAGAAAATGGGCCTTAAGTTTTCAAAATTTGGACCCAATCTTTGATGTTAGTGGCCCAAATTTTTTTCTGACTTGAAATGTGAACCCCTTGTTAGTTTTCAGATCCACCCCTGTGTTCTACGGTCGAGAATGACAATGGCGATTTCCCCAATGAAGACGTCCTTACCTACGTAAGACGATGTACTAGTGAGAAGCACAAACACAGCAAGTAAAGCTACAGATCCTACAGAGTTTA